CCCCTACTGATTCCGCGACAAACATGAGCGAACAGGGATCACTTTCGCTTTCTCTGACAAGCGAAGGTTTATTTGCTCAGATGGAGACCGACCCTCCGCAGGTTTATTTCCCTTTGCGGATAAGTTTTCCAAACACAAGCGACGACTCGAATTACGTTGAATTCACCCAAGGAGAATTGGCATTGTTTATGAATTTCGCGAGAAACGGTTCTTTGCTTTCTAGTTCTCGTTCGGCCGCGACTATGCAGTGCTTGAGGTTCGAATCTGATGGACATCTGAGGGTTCCTTTGTCTTGTGCAGCTTCGCAATTTCAAAGCTTTTTGGAGGTCCCCCCAGGATCGCTTACTTCACCTACAGGGAAGATCCCCAAAGCGCCCCGGATATTGGAAATACAGATGAGGAGAGCTCCAAAAAGGTTTTGCGCAAACAACTGCTCGTGCCGAGCGGCTTGTTTTCAATATGAAAGATGGCTATAATTCTTCCGGTTCATGCTACTTAGTGTCTCAGGTATTTTCGCTTATAAGCTTGAGCTTAAGCCCGTCCGATTTGGGACACCCCTCAAACGTATTCCTTAAAGTGCAGAATCCCATGAGGAAAATTCAGATTGAACCTGCTGCTTCTCCCAATACAGATGAACCTCATGTTTCTCCTGAAAAGAGTAGCCTCGGATCACTCTTAGCTCTCATCTTTCTCGCTGTCGTCATCAAACGCCTACTTGGAAACAAAGGCGTCGACAAGGTCGAAGAGGACTATTTAGATCAAATACCTGGAGCACCTAAGAGATTCGCCTACAATGATTTAAAAGCCATTACCAAGGATTTCATTAAGAGGCACGGTGAGGGGAGATTTAGCTTTGTTTATGAAGGCACTCTAGATAATGGCACAAAGGTCGCCGTGAAATACCTCAATGGTTTATGCCAAAATGAAAAATCTTTTCTTGCTGAGGTTGAGAGCATTGGTAATATTCATCATTGTGAACTTGGTACGACTCGTTGGGTTTTGTGCCGAGAACTCTCATAAGCTGCTTGTCTATGAATACACGTCCAAAGGGTTCTTAGATAAATGGATCTTTCATAGATTAGATGAGTCATTCCTGTTTGATTGGCAACAGAGGAGGAGCATTATTTGCGACATAGCAAAGGGCCTATGTTATCTCCACGAAGAATGTAGATGGAAGATAGTTCACATGGATATTAAGCCCCAAAATATACTCTTGGACGACAAATTCAATGCTAAGGTTGCAGATTTTGGCTTGTCTAAGCTAATTGATAGGGACCAAAGCCAAATTGTGGCCACAATGAGGGGGACTCCGGGCTATCTGGCCCCATAATGACTACACACAGCAGTTACCGAGAAAGTAGATGTCTATAGCTTTGGTGTGGTAATTCTGGAGATAGTCTGTGGAAGGAAAGTTTTCGATGAATCTCAAAATGAGGATGATATGTACCCGTTAGGAGTTTTTAAGAGAAAGAGCGAAGAAGGACGTTTGTTGGATATGATCGATAAGAACAGTGAGGATATGCAGTTGAACGGATCCCATGCGGTCTATATTATGAGACTCGCCATGTGGTGCTTGCAAGTTGATTTCACAGGGAGGCCTTCCATGTCGATGGTCATCAAAGTCCTGGAAGGAGTGATGAAAGTCCCAAATGACCTAGACTATAACTTCTCATATCCCACCTTGACGAATCTAAGCATAAGAATTGGACAAGAGGGTGTTGAATCGGGCGCCGCCATTTCGGTGGTACCCTCTGTTTTATCCGGTCCACGATGATCCACCCCGGCGGCGTCGCATACTTTCTTCTCCGCTGGAAAACAGTTGCAGAGGGAACTGAGTGTTTGCATATACCATGATTTTGTCTATTTGCCTAGCTGCACTATAATGTTCATGAACTGCATCCTTCTGTAAAGTTTTTCATATCCCCCTCCTCGTATATTCCTCTAAGAAGATCGAAAATGCATGCATGTATGTCGATGAACTTTATACTAGCTGAATTGCACGTCCATACGAAGACAATCGTCAAATGTGTATAACTCGAACCATGTACTTCTGGCGACGGAGCACATACGATTGTTAAAATTCTCTCTCTGTACTGTAGATATTATGATACTGCTATCTAAAACTTGACAAAGGACTAGATCTCTGTAGGGATACCATTCCAGTGGGTAAAATGTACAGGAACGGTGCAATTCTACCGTCGATTTTTGAAATATCTACTTCGCACGTGTACTTACTTTTCTCCCACTATATTTACTTTTCCTTGTGGGCTGATGATCCTGAGTTACGTCACGGGAGGGGACTATTGGGAAAAATTATCAAAAAAGTTTTAAATCTATTGTAATTTTGTCAATTCAGTCCTAAACTTTTTTTATTATGTCAATTCAATCCATCCAGTCCAGTCAATTTGGCCGATCGATGCTGACATAACACGACCGATGCTAACATGAAATAATTGTATTGAAAGTTCTAAAACTTGTCACGAAAATGCAATTGGGTCATAAAACTTTCAAAAGGTGCAATTAAGTCATAAAACTTGTCGCCAAAGTATAATTGAGTCTTAAAACTTTTAAAAAGTGCAATCATGTCCTAAAACTTATCAAATTCTCAAATTGCTAATAGAATCCGACCAAAAAAAAAATCGCCAATAGAAGAATAATACATACAGTGACTAATCTTTTTCGCTAGAATAAGATTTAGAGATTAAAATTGAATATTGTCAATTGTCGATGCACCAAAGTATAAATATTCATTTGGGGCTTTATATATGTGGGTACTATATGTCCATGATCGGGTGCTGATTTAGCAATTTTTCATTGGATTTTATCGATATTTTGATAGGACTTCAATAGTCAATTTGAAAATAGTATTGTAAAATTCTAGGATTTTCGAAAAAGAGAGAAAATCAATAAAGACTACATCTTTGCTTCATTGACTTGACTTTGCACGTTATTAGAGGAGGGTATTTATACCCGAACAACATGTATTAAAAAGAAAATTAACTATCTTAGAGGATAATGAAATATCAAATAATATCCTTAATATCAAACATCATTTTCTGATAGGAAAATCTCATGTCTCCGTAAATAAATTTCATCAAGTACCATGATTGAAATTGCGACAAAAACGAGGCATGAAGATCAAAGTGAACCTCTAAAAATGTGCAGGAGTTTATGGCGTAATTTTTATTATGTGAAAAAGTTATTTATAGTAAAAAAAAAATATTTTTTATAAGGTATATGATTGACGGTCAAGAACCGCAGCCTGGTCAAAGGAATTTTGAATTGACCGACCTTTTCCGGAAACCAAGAGCAAGAGGATGGTCAGCTATCCAACATTCACCACCTTGTCGGGTAGGCGAAGACAAGACAACTCTTACAATAAATATATAAATAAATACGTTTATTCAACTGAATTTTAAGATAAAATAAAATTATGAAAATCTTCTGGATGATTTCTCTCAATCACATTCTGTAGAGACATAAATTCGGGTCCCCAAAAAAAAGCTTGAAAGATATATTTTTGCACCCTTTAATTTCAAATTTTCATTTATGCCCTTTAAATCTAAAGCATCTTATTAATAAGTGCACTTGAAACATCTATTGAACATATTTAACAAAGAATACTTTAATTCTCGAAGTATCAATTGAATGTAACAATAACCGTTTCGATTATTAAAATGCTGGTTATACGGTCCAATAACTTAGTGCGCCAAAATTATGGACTCTGCCTATCGAAAGCTTAACGACTGCATTGATAAATTACAATTTTAGGAACCTATACATTTCGTTGTGAAATCTTGAAAATTTACAATTTGTTACCTCTGTTTTTCATAGTATCATATAAACAAGTCGTGAAGTATTATTTTATTTTTTCGAAATGTCATAATGTAAAGTATATTTTTTCGTGTACAGGGAGACGGACGCAGAGGCCCGACCAACTAACTAAGTATTATGAATTGGTTTATATTTAAAAATGAGTGATGCAAAATACTTTGTAGAAAGCGTAAATCTCTATACTTTTCCAGCCTTAGTTGAATTACTCATTTCTTGCTCTCAGCTGAATCATTTTCCTGTTCTCCATGAACTTTGACCTGGACTGTATCGACTTCTCTCGAAATTCTGTTCTACTTTCTGCATATTTCATGGCCTTAATATAATCCCAGATATTCGAACTTTTGGTCTGTTCTCTCTCTCTCTCTCTCTCGTTTTCAAGGATGGACTTCGGTGTTGTCATTTTCTCGTGATTCTGAAAAATGGGAACTCATCAAACCCACTGAAGATAGAGGAGGAAGAACCAAAAAATGGGTCACCAGGAAAGAAAACAGACAGTGTCGAGACTGCTAACCGCATGCCATTATATCTTGCTATGTTTCACTTGGTCTTGCATGCTTTTTTTGTACAAGAAACGCAAGTCCCACAGCCTCTGCAGTTTCAAGTATCCTAAGACATGTCAGGTTGAGAAGAAACTTGGCCGTGAGTATTTTTGAACTTGTTTGATTGAATTCTTCAAAAGCACCTCACTTCACTGTGTCTGTATAGCGTTGTCATTTACTGGCGTTTTCTTGATTTTCTCTTCGTATATCATCGGTTCGCGACTCGTGCGATAAGCAGTAGCCCTTGTCCACGGAATGGACCGGTAAAGTTATGGAGAAAAAATAGGCACAAGTCTTCTTAAATTCAGCGCCATTCACACTCACGGAAACACAAAAAGTTCGACTTAGATGTACACTTTGAACTCAGCCACTCCTTTGGATTGATTGACGCACTTGTGGAATTTCCTTTTCTGGGTCTTGTGCTGGTGATGATTATAACATGACCGTGAGCATATTTAATGTTATAGTTGGGAAAGTCAAGATTTTGCTTCATCTGCTCTTTACTCGATGATGAGTTTACAGCCTCACAGGTTTTGCTTCAAAACGAAAAGGGTTGCCTTCAACTTGTTAAAGGATGATATGCTTTGTCTTTCACATGATTCTTGCCAATATAAGTACGAAACCGTGTGGTTGAGACCTTATATTTCTGGGTTGTGGACAATATTCTTCATATCTGAGATGTTCTTCCGACTGCTATTTCTTGCAGTTAACACCCCTTTGAGTTGTAACAACCAAGGGCATTTCTCTGTCTCTTTCTCTTCGAAGCCATGTCTTCTGGTAGATCGAAATCAGTGAGGTAAGTCAGTCAACTAGCAGTTTGAAGTAGCAGACTTTGTCTGCCTAAAGTGTAATTATATGTCTGCTTGTTTAAGCAGTCTCGCATTATGTTTATTTTCTCATTGACAGAAGTGAATGCAAATAAATCGATACTTGCATTGGTTAGATCACCTGAGTTCTGTTTCCCTGAATGCCTTCAGTGTGCAATTTTCAGATTTCAAGATGATACGGATACCGAAACAGCAGACTCTGTGCAGCCCAATAGAGGAGGTCATGACTTGACATTCACCAGTAAGATCAGAGGGAGGCACAAGGCTCATTTCTGGCCCAAGAAGGGTGCCATCAGAAAATCCTGGCACAGAAAAGAGCTCTCCAGAGTTTTCTCTGAGGACTACGACGTGGTAGACACGAACATATTGGATCCTCGAGGACCCATAATCAACAGGTGGAACAAGATCTTCTTGGTGGCATGTTTGATCTCTCTCTTTGTGGACCCTCTCTTCTTTTACCTGCCTAGGGCCCACAAGGACATTTGCATCAACGCATCCGTACCTCTCGAGGTGGCTCTCACCATTGTTCGCTCGGCAGTCGACGCGTTTTACATAATTCAGATATACGTTCGGTTTCACACGGCTTACGTTGCTCCTTCCTCTCGCGTATTTGGTAGAGGAGAGCTCATAGTAGATTCTTCTAAGATAACTTCGAGGTACCTGCAGAGAGATTTCTGGCCTGACCTCGTGGCATGCTTACCTCTTCCGCAGGTATGGGACTAATTTCTGGCTCCCGGGAAACTCTCTCTCTGACTTTAAAGGCACTCAGTTGAAAGTAACAGCCTGCAAGGACAAAAGATCAGTGCTTTAGATATTTAGCCTGTTACTCATGATTCATCATAGCTCTGGCAGATGGTAGCCTGAGACCTGAACGAAGCAACTTATTATCGGGTGTTGCTAATGTAAATTTCGCCTTATTAATTTGACTTAATTAATGGATGCTCTGCTCCTAATGCAGTAGCTGATCCTGTAATCATCAATTAACCCTTTGGTTTGTCTATGGTCAGTAAGACAAACTTTATCGACTAGGTCTGTAACTCTCTGCATGTTTGTTAACTGAACATATGTGTTAAGTGTTCTTTTGTTTACGGTGTGAGTCTCTTCATGATGTAATTCTCAGGTTTTGATTTGGCTGGCAATCCCGAATTTGAGGGGCTCTTCTGTGGACAGCGTCAGGAACGTGATTCGATTCATTATCATGTTTCAGTACCTCCTGAGGCTGTATCTTCTGTTTCCGCTCTCGTCTCAAATAGTCAAGACCAGCGGAGTGGTGACGAAAACTGCCTGGGCTGGGGCTGCTTATAACTTGATGCTGTACATGTTGGCAAGCCATGTGAGTAGTGCCTGCTTCTGCTTAGCCACTGTGCTGTTTAATGCTTGCACAATTAATTTTTCGAAGAGAGTCCATGGGTTTTGTTGATTCTTTCCATTTTTTCTTTGTCAATTTCTAAATCTCCAGGGTACACATTGATTTTGAATACGCGTGCCACTCTAATTTGGTAGATGCATCTTGTACAATTAGATAGTGGAATCATTTTTGGCTTTCCCTAGTTCAGCTGTTAATATAGCAATCTATTGTGTCCCAAATGTCTGCAGGTTCTCGGATCGTCCTGGTACCTTTTATCTATTGAAAGGCAAGAAGAGTGTTGGAGGAAAGTATGCAATCAGGAAGAACCACATTGCAGCTTTGCATACTTGGGTTGCCAGAGCGTAGGGAACCCGAGGAGGGCTGCCTGGTTCAGGTCGAGCAACATATCGGGCTTATGTCATCCGAATGACAACTTCTTTCAGTTTGGCATATACGCTGATGCATTGACTTTCGGAGTCACAAACTCGAGGTTCTTCAACAAGTACTTCTACTGCCTGTGGTGGGGCCTGAGGAATCTAAGGTATCTAAATTTGGCTCGGTAGATCGTGGTTGTTGAATTTGATTTTGTTCGATCCAATCTCATTCTAGCAAGTAGCCGTACATTATGGTCATCAAAAAATTTCCGTTAGCTTTTAGTCTAGGACGCAAGTATGATTAAGCTGTTTAAGATCATATGGACAAATGGTGTAACTAGATTCTTGATGAATACTGCAGCTCGGTTGGACAGAATCTCTCCACGAGCACTTATGTCGGAGAAATAATATTTGCCATCGTGATTGCGATCCTTGGATTAGTGCTCTTTGGACTGCTTATTGGGAATATGCAGGTAAGCTATCGGCTTAAATGTCAGACCTTAACTTTATCCGGCCTCATCCTTTAGAAATCGAATAATGGGCGTGTTTCACTTCAAAGCATTCTGCAAACTCACAAGAATTCTGAAATCACTTTTGAAAATGGGATGAGCAAGGCAGGCTGTCATTCCTAGGATCTTTCCTAGAGCCTAGAGGTGTCAGATGTCCACAAACTTCAAAACATATGCAACTTGTTTACCGGTTCTCAAATGTATGACATTTTCAGGATTTTGCAAACGTGTAATTGATGAACTTGCCTTAAGTGCAGACGTATCTCCAATCGACAACAATGCGCCTGGAAGAGTGGAGGATCAGGCGGACGGACACAGAACAGTGGATGAAGCACCGACAATTGCCGCACGAACTGAAGCAGAGTGTCCGAAGGTATGATCAGTACAGATGGGTCGCTACTCGAGGAGTCGATGAGGAAGCCATTTTAAGGAGCCTTCCCTTGGATCTCCGAAGAGACATTAAGCGACACCTATGCCTCAATTTAGTGAGACAAGTGAGTTCTTTTGCTGTAATACTTCCACGAGTTGTTTGCGCTCGCGTTATGCAAATTCAGTGGTTGATACAACTATGTTGCCATAAACCAAGTTCCAGCTAGTGTCTCTGTCTAATTTTTGTTATCCTACTCTTCCTAACAAAATTTAGGTACCGCTGTTCGATCAAATGGATGAGAGGATGCTCGATGCGATATGTGAAAGGCTAAAGCCTTCTCTGTGTACCCCCGGAACGTTCGTGGTTCGGGAAGGTGATCCCGTCAATGAAATGATCTTCATCATCCGCGGCCACTTAGACTCATACACAACGAATGGCGGTCGGACTGGGTTCTTCAACTCGTGCCGTATTGGCCCGGGCGATTTCTGCGGCGAGGAGCTGCTGACGTGGGCTCTCGACCCTCGCCCAAGCATCGTCCTCCCGTCTTCTACGCGGACCGTAAAGGCTATAAGCGAGGTCGAAGCCTTTGCTCTCGTGGCGGAGGACCTGAAGTTCGTGGCTTCGCAGTTCCGTAAGCTGCATAGCAAGCAGCTGAGGTACACTTTTCGCTTCCACTCGCACCAGTGGAGGACGTGGGCAGCGTGCTTCATCCAGGCGGCATGGTTTCGATACAAAAGGCGAAAAGAAGCAGAAGAGCTGAAGAGAAGGGAGAGCTTCGTGGCTTCGATTTCGGAGCCGGCGGTGGATCAAAATGCCGTCTCCTCCTTGCATCGGACAGGATCCGGTTTCATGATGTACGCGGTGAGATTGGCCACGGGCATTAGGAGGGGCGGGAGCCAACGCTACGGAAATGATGTCGATATCTTTAGCTCGTTGCAGAAGCCGACAGAGCCCGACTTTACGGTTGAAGATAGATGAAGAGTTAGAGATTGATATAGATAAGCTGAGAGAAGTTAGTTTGAAGATAGTTAATTTGAAGATTCATTGGTATATAAGTTTGATCTTTGGCGAGAGAGGGTATGCGACATTGAAGTAGTGGGGTTATTAGTTAAGAGTTATGGCAATGTCCATGACTGATACCCTAAGTCCCTATGTAAGGAGAACCCTCCCAACATTACCTCAATGCGTTACTTATATCCCAGGATCTAGCCCGTCTTGTTAAGTTTATGCATGATCGATGACGCGTCGATAACGAACTATTATGGGACCGAATGCGTGGTGAAAGCGAGCGTAAACGCTAACACATCTGAGAACTGGACCGGGTAGAGATGGAAAATGGTGCCTGCAAATTCTGTGTCGAAATTCGAAAGCTCCATGTTTCGGCATTGTACAGGTTTCAATTGGTCGATTCTTCGTAGATGTCAAACAGCTTCCATAATCTGGTGCAATGGCAGCCTTTATGGCAGGACAGAAGATGGCAACTTCAGGAGAGAAAAAAAACGAACGGTTTAGTACATGGTATCTCCTAATAAAAGGCCCAGATCTTTAGATCCAAGAACCATCTTTGTTTACTCATGTTGGATCCCAATAAGAACCATCCTTGTCTAACAGTGGCTCATGTTGGATCCACATTTCTCTCTCTTCCTCTCTCAACACGAGATTCGGCGGTGCACGACATGTCGGCTATCGACGGGGCGGCGGTCTTTATCAACCCCACCCCCCCTCCCCCCCCTCTCTATCTCACACGTTACATATCGGTAGGCAAAGACACGTCGCCGATTCTTGAATACGACCCACCCGTTCAAAATGTCCAGCACGATACGCGCACCGCCACGAACATGCATGAAACAGAAAAAAGGAGAAATCTTTTCTTTTTTAATGACGTAATCCTGAAGCCAACAGGACGCAGCCTAATTAAATTTTCTTAATCAGTTGATTAATTTAAAGCTTTCTAGGTAGAAACAATGCCACATCTGGCGGAAAGTGGGAGCTGAAAACAAAGCAAAAAGAAGGAGACGTGAAGCTTTCAATAAACCAAAACGCCTTGGAAAAAAGCTTTTGTCCCCTCCCTCCCTTCCTCTCGATCTGTGCTTCTTTTGTTTTTGACCAGGATCGGTTTGACCGTTTGCTCTTTCCCTTCCTAATTAATTCTGGTTTTATAATGAATTTTTATGTCCCACTTGCCCATGCACGAGGAGCTTGTTAATGACCCCTTTCACTTGCTTCTTCTCTTCAAATTGGTACTTTCCTTTTTTTTCCCATCAACAATGAAAATAAAAGGAAAAATCTGAAGAAAAGGGGAATTTCGTATTTTCCATTGCTTCGACTAAATTAGCTTCTTGAAATTCGACTCTAATGTCGAGTCTCCGGCTTCGGGATCGGATTGGGTTCCATAATATACATAACTTACCGATGCCCTTAACTTGACGGAATCACGCTTCGACAAATACCGTTTCGCCGCGTGACCCCGATATCAGATGCCCTGATTACGTCGCGGGACGGCATGTCGGTGAGCTGCGACCTTTTTTCAAAGGATTACAAAGTCCGTGCTCCCACACTGATTTCGCTGTCAGGAGGCCTCGAGACGGAACTGGAAACACCAAATCACCGATAGCTTAAATTTCTCGGCGTCCGATGAAATCCAATCCTCGGTACCGATCTACAAAATCTCTAATTTTCGAAAACGTAGGAGGCAAAATTTGTTTTCCGACCCATTAAAAAGATGGGGAAAAATTGTTCGAAGCCGTGTGACTTTTTTTTTTGGTTGCTTTCCTATCTCAATTTCCACCCCTCAATTTCTAGATGGATTGAAACTTCACTAAAAATGGCCCAAAAAAAACACACACAAAGGGATGCACACGTGGGGGTTGTTGGTTATCATCTCGCGGGAGCTGGGCCCCACCCAAGCGAGAAATTTCCAGCCTTCCGTACGTGAATAAACATTATTTTAGTCATTAACCAAAACCATGTATAATTCAACGCCGCTCGAAAATGATGGGGCCGAAATTAATTTTTATTTAAAAAAAAAACACACACGCACACGAAGCTACTAGAATATGGAAAATTTTGTTCTTCATTTTCCTTCTACTACAAGAACTACCGAAGTTGCACGCCAGCCCAAATTCAAAGTATTTTCGCCGAGAAAATTCGCGGCAGGCAGGCCACGAATTGCAGAGCGATAGGTCGGGAACGCGGAGGCGCGCGCGTCGCGTGCGATCTCACCGTTCGTGGAGTGAATCGGAGGTTGTGTGAAAAGTCCGAATTCTGCCCCGCGACAAGGCGGCGGGAATTTCTCGTCGCTACGCCCGTGGAAATAGATAAGAGAAAGATCGTTACCCGTCAAATCTTTGAGTATTAAATAGGGGTGAGCATGGTTTCGGGGTTACCTGGAACCGAAAAACTGGACCTCCGATTCCAGGTTGGAACCTGTCCGATTCCAGGTTCTTGGTTCCAAAAAATTGAGGAATCTGTTTCGACGGGTAGGTTTCAGTTTCTAGGTAAGTAAAACCCGGAATCCAAAACAAGTTTTTGTGTTTCTCTTGATCTATATCTTCATGTGATCGCGCGGTATTCCACGACGTCCAATGATAAATTCTAGTCTAAGCTTACATTTTATTACCGAGACTTACAAGTTGTGGTTATCGGATTGTAGAAACAAGTGATGGTCATTAAAAGTAATGATTCACTACAATCGCTCAATTAATAATACAAGTGCAATCTAGATAAACCCCGGAATCTACCCTTCGTAGTTCGTAGGGCATGTAGAGGTTCTGAAAAATGAAAAAAAAAAAAATCCGGAACCGCTCATCCCTTAGTATTCAAGCCCCCGAGCTAGTTTATCGCGAATTATCGAAATAATAAAATATATAGAGTGAAATTTTCTTGGTAATTTAATTAAGTAAAGTAAAATAAAATATAAAAATTTTGTGAACTCATCGAACGAGATGAAGGGCAACGAAAAAGGCGTCCATTTCGCGCGAGAAAAAGGGGACCCGCGGGTTGCCCCGGGGAAGCGGTGGGTCCGACCCGACAGCTCCATATGGTTTCGCGCGAGTCAAACCGGATTTAAAGACCCGGTTCGGAAAAATATTCACGGGAAGGAGAAAAAGAAAAAATTTAATTGAAAAAAATCGGATTTTCTTTTCTTTTTTTTTAATCAATTTTATTTTTTTTTTTAAAAAAAAAAATCAATTTCCTATTTTTTTAACAGAAAAAACGAAAAAAGAGGAACAGCCCGGTCATCGAAACGCCGCAACACATGCGCAAAAAACATTAACATTAACACAACGCCCGCACGCACGCACGGCCATGCTGACGTAGGCCCGCACGTGGGGCCCCCCCTCCCCAACCGTGGACCCCTCACGTGGGAGAGACCCCCCCCCCCCCCTCTCACGTGCGGCCGACCAGCTTTATTACGGTGAAGAAACGGGCCGCCGTGAAAATCGCCTTCCGTGCGACGCCCCCTTCGACGCGTTGACCGGCGATGAGCTGTCGGAGCCAGCCATTTTCACGGGGGTAGATCCTCTGTCTCTATCGTTTGTCTTCGATCGAACGATACGTGTTCATATGGTCCATCGATGCACGGGACCGATGGTTCGACCGTCAATTGCCGAGGCGGACGGTACTTGTTCCTGCTTACAGCGGTGGACGACGGGTGTCGTCAGCTCGTGCCGTGGATTGTCGGGTGAAGACCAGCTCGCTGCGGTCGGAGTCCCGGTGAGCGACGAACAAGGGCGGGACATCTCCATTCTCATGATAATATCCTCATCGTCCCGATAATGATTGGAAATAGTAATTCAGTTGCTGCGGCTACTAGTGATTCTTTTTTATCGTTAGGATAAGTAAGTATCCCAAAGAGACACAATAACAGGGTAAAAGAGGAGGGAGATTCCCTATCTCGGACGACACTCCTCTCGAAGGCTTGTCAAATCTCGATTGTTGGAGCCGAACTTACTTTTGTAAACATCGATGACCGTGATTTATCGGGACATCGAAAAGACACCGGGTTGCCATATAAGAGAGAAATTGTTCATTGGCAGCTGTTATTTGACCATAGAAGAAAGCATAGACTAGCCTTTTAAATAAGGCTCTCAATTTTCGAATTCGGTGGTCATCCATCCCCGTATCATCTTGAGCCAGAGCCGTTCATCCGTTCGAATCTCGACTACTTTAAAAGCATAATAGGGTTTCGTGGGACACCGGAATTCCAATCGAAACGTCGTATCGCGTGACAAGGAAAGGAACCCGCGAATTCGGTGGCGTGACGGATTGAGAAGCGGATCGAAAATGGTCGGGTCGACATTCAATGCGTGACGAGACTCCGACGTCCGGTCCGGTAGAAGCCGCGGGGACGATTTCGCCTTCGCCCTCACTTCTATTTGACATCAATCTCTGTTCCCCAATCCCCGGTGACACGAATTGATTACACTAATTAAGTCTCGCTAATTAATCCACCATTAAAGTCTAATCCTACACTTGCGGCATCGGAACGGGACATTTATGTCCCCATTCAAAATCCAATTAAAGTTTAAACTACATAAAGAAGAAGGGGGGAGGAGGTCTAATCACGATCGTGAGTTGGGAGTCGCACCGCCCTCTTAAATACGGCTCTCAATTTTCGAATCCGACGGTCAGTCATCCCCGCACCATCTTGAGCCAGAGCCGTTCATCCGTTCGAATCTCGACGACTTTAAAAGCACAATAGGGTTTCGTGGGACACCGGAATTCCAATCGAAAACGTCGTACCGCGTGATAAGAAAAGGAACCCGCGAATTCGGTGGCGCGACGGACTGAGAAGCGGATCGAAAATGGTCGGGTCGACATTCGATGCGTGACGAGACTCCGACGTTCGGTCCGGCAGAAGACACGGGGGATGATCTCGATCTCGATCTCGATCTCGCTTTCGCCCGATCACGTGCGCCGAAAACTCGATGCGTCACGCGATGTTTTCCGCGCGGATGGTTTGGAAAAAATCGAATCGCATCACAAATTTTCCTTCGCCTCAACCAACAAGAGGAGAGAACCTCGTGGGGGAGGACTGAGGAGGAGTCAATCTGGGGGTTTCAGCCTGCCAGGTGGCGGTCATCCCGGTCGCCGAGAAATCCCTCGGTACGCAATCTCTAGGAATCTGTGGTCGTCCGACACGACACATACGATGATGATGACGATTTTCTTCTTCTATCTTCTTCCTTCTATCTATTTATTTAAACCCTTAAAAAAAAACCGAAAACTAAACGGAAATTACGAAAGGGTCCCCAGCCAGGTGGTGGTGGGGGTGGTGTGTGGAAGTCAAACTGGGATTTGGCCGTGTGACAAGACCTTTAACAACCTCCTGTGTTTGGGAGCTCTTCGGATCGTGCACGAAACAGCCTTCCAATTTCTCCCCCGATTTGCATCCGCGGATTTGCTCGCTTTTTCTTACTTCTCTTCTTCTCTGTTTTTTCCTTTTTTTTATATACCATTATAATAGATCTTGTCAAGGGAAAAGAAAAGATTTCCTTAAATTGCAGGTGTCCTCTTTGGAGCGGCATTGAACGTTCGATCTAGTCACGCAATTTGGGCTTGTTTGACCGTCTAACCATCATCAACACCCACCTGGTTTGATGCCAAAATCATTATCGTTGTTATTATTATTATTATTATTATTTAGCCGTCGACATATGATTTGCGTGGGTTGAGGGGCGACGCCGCCGCTTTGTCCGAATGTTTACATGCTTGCCGATTCCATGGCACAGCATTCGTGGTTTCCCCTTGCCGACGCATCTGTTAGCACGTCGGTACTAACGTTCGAGCTTCGACAGACGGACTCGTTCGTGGTAGGATTTACTGTGTAGCTTACGCTTTGTTAGTGTCGCGGGAGCCGGGGCGAAAGAGGAGGGTAAGGATGTAGAATGACATTCTGCACAAAGTTAGATTTGACTGTAACATACCAACCCATAGTAAATACTAAAATGGGAGTGCATATAAGAAACCAATGGCCTGAAAAAAAGGTGGATGCTTTGACTTGGGCACAACAAAGGAGGGCCAAATTCTTTTTGACTTGTGTCTGAGAAAGTATAGAGAGAACAACATTCAAATGGAAGTCCTTCCTTCCCTGATCAATGCCAGAAAGATTTTGCCTTCTTAGAAGACTTCAAATTGCTTTGCCAGAAGCCCATCCTGGACCGAAACAACTCCTCCGACCGTGACTCGTCGGAGTTTCGACCGTGACGGCCAGACCAAGAAAGAAGGAAGATAGGACAGGACATAGAAAGAGATGACTTGACACCAATGAACAAGACCCGTGAATCCATAACTGGACGATATTCAGTTTGTGCGAGTCACTCCTCCGAAAATGCAGCAAAAGAATAGTCTCGAGGTAAATCCAGCTCGAACGTATGCCCTGGTCCACCAAAATTGCAAGCGATGGTCAGCTTGTAAATGGAAGGTTTTGGTCAATTAGCTGTACACGTGAAGGTCATTGTTCGATTTCTTCTCTACTTTCCTACGCAGTTGCTGCTCGAGTTTGTCAAAATTGTCAATCTCTTGGCCTTTCTGATGAAATCGCTGCCCAATGAAACGAGGATGATATCAACAAATAGTCCAACCAACCAGTGTGCCAAGACAGATAAGATCACAGAAAGTCACAATGCAGACATACGGAAAGGTGAAAGAAACTCCTCACCTGTATGGCTCATCGCCGATGCGCTTCTCTCCACCTTTGTTATCCCGATATAGCACATGGCGGGCTAAGCTTTGAGTATTCTCGACGCCAAACATATCTGTTAGCTTCCTGCACAACTCGTCATATGAGGCAAGCAATGAGAGATCAAGCGTTCGACCCACGTCTTCCGATGCTATGAAAACTTTGCAATGGCCGATTTCTGAGCAGGCTTCCATCTCCTGTTGGTGCTCATCCTCATGCATTCTCAACAGCTCACATGACGACTGCCGCTCTGGTTGGCCCGACTGCTGACGTGCGGAACCAGGGCCGTCAGGGAAACTACCTGGTTTTTCTATCTTCTCTTCCGATGAAGTACGAGCGGGCGAAGCTGTAGTGGCGGTGGTAGTAGCAGGGCTGCTTAGAGAAATCTGCTGCTCGGTCAGTATCGGCTTACCAAAGAGCACCAACTGGGGAGGTTTCTTAACTTCCTCAAGCTTCTTAAAGACTTTCCCGTAATTCGTCATTGTCAAGACGGTAGAAATGTTGTCGTCGCTGCTAGATTTGTGCATTCTCGGACCATTGGAGGTTCTGATGGGTCTGATTGAGTGGTCGATAAGCGGAAAACCGGCAGGGAACAGACTCGACGGCTGTTTGCTGAGGCGGAGATCCGGTAAGGATGGAGAATAGTAAGGGTGCCTGGCTCCCTGCATGCCAGCTGCAGAATGGTTGCTGGGAAGACAACCAAACAGGCTGCTGGGCCCAAGGAGGTCGCCGGAGAACGATGGCATTGGGAAGTGCCCATCGAGGGGGAAATCCGGGTGATGTGGAAGTCTTAGCTTCTTCCTTGGTGGCGAGAAAGGGGAGAGATGGATTGCTGGCATGTTAGAGACGAGTTCGACCAGCCATGGGCTCACACGTTTCACGTTTTGCAGCAAATCCGGCTCGTCCCAAGTTACCTGTCAGTTTCGATTTCTTTCAGCATGTAATATATAAATACAGGGAAGTCCAAACAAATAACGAAGCTAATCCATGGGTAAACGGCGAACAAATCGGGGAAAACCCTAGAAGCTACACCCATTAACCAATGACAAAACAAGGGAAGGTATTGTATGAAAATCGATTCTACGCAGTCGACTGAGGTAAGCAAAGCTGCACCGAGGAATTATTAAAAACCATAAGTTTAGGTTGATTCACTGAACTACCTGGAGTAGCCTCCAAGGTGAATCCGGCCAGCGGATGGGATCGGCCACTTGAACTGAAGATATCGTCCCCATGAACCAACTAATCCGTGAAGAGTCCTCTGTTTCGAAGGCCATCTTGAACCTCATTCCGGAACACCACCGGATCTGCATCGCAGCTTTTACCATGGACGACTTCACACAAAATTCAGGGGTACTTGCTCGAGGGTAGTAAACCACCTCGAAAGGATGCCCATTTGCCGCGAGTGAGGCTGCTTCGATAACTGCCTCTGGCGTGACCCGTTTCTTGCCCATCAAACTTCCATTTCCGTTCATGCAGTTACCATGCCCATTGGTGATCAATTTGTTCTCGTCCTCTGTCAAGAATGCTGAGAACCCGCCATAAGGCACTGCACAGTTACCACCGACTGGGTTCCAACCAGATGAGGACTCGGGTCCGCCACCAATCCCTCTTTTAGCCCGGCGAATCCCAACGCAAAGATCCCCATTCTCCGCCCTCATGAACACTATTGAGTCCCCAGCCACAAGCTTCTTGTGGTTAACAAAAGTACTCCAACCTGTGGTCAAGAGATGTCGCCGCGGTGTACCTCGGTAGATATGCCTAAACTTCCATGTCTCTCCATGAACGTCCTTGGCTAGGATGGTTTGGACAGGAGGGTCTGCAGAATAATCCAGTCGTGGGAAAATCGTTTCTGCACAGTACCTCGGGACAGAGAAACCACCGCCGTTATTAGCATCCGACTGGGTCAAAGTTTTGGCAAAGGAGGCAGGCTTATCTTGACCATCTGATCCTTGAAGCCCTCCAATTCCATCATCCCCAAAATCAGGCTCATTATTTGTCAACGGAACCAATCTCATCTTAGCGAAGACCTCGTCGGTCTCTGGATCGGCCATGAACTTAATTGCAGAAACCCGGCAAGGTATATATGCTGGTATCCTGGGGCAGTTCCGAAAATCCCCGGGACCATACGAATGCTCGGCGTGGCCTTGAGGGAAATAAAAGACCTTGGAGTTCAATGGCGGCATTTGCACCATTCCTCCAGCGCAGGCATGCCATAGCTGAGAATCTAATGTTTTCTCCACCTCTTTCAGCTTCTCCTTAGAATCCATAAAAGTGATCATCTTGGCCAGAAGGCGGTTTTGCCGAACCAAGCACAGCTTTTTCAGGGCATAAAAGTCTTCTCCGAGTAGCTAGACTAGATGCTTCTGGTGCTTGTTTTTACAATAAACACTGAAAGTAACATGCAAGAACATGAATACGATTAGGCACAGGATAACCAGAATCAGACAGTTACCTAATTCGCCTTTCTGAAAAGTAAGAAATATTACCCGGTCGGTTGATCTTGCTCGAAACTCGAATTCGGAAAAATTACGTCCCACGTTTGGAGCCAAGAGAAAAAGGGGATTAACAAACTTCTACTTGGAAAAACACACAATCGCACAGTAACACCCCCAAAAGTCCACAAAAGCTCAAATTTGCTGATGAGAGAGAGGGAGACCCCTGAGACAAAGCAGGTCCATTTCTCTTCTCAGCTCAAAGGCTCCACCAATTCATCTTCTTGTACAAATTTCACTCTCACAATTCCCCCGAATTTACAGTGCCATACCATTAGCAGCCAGAAGCTCACTTCTTCCACAGCCACAAAAGACCGCAGCCTCTGTTTTTACTAAAACTAAGCTAAGAAGGAACTGTCGAATTCAGGAACTCAAGATCTACAACCGACAAAACCAGAAAGTAATTATCTTTCTTCCACCCCATCTCGGCCTCTAAAAATATCTCAATTCCCTAGCATCAAAATTCACCGCCAAAATCATCAGCACCCACCAAGAATCTATCTGCGTGCTCACAAAAGAATCTCTCTGCTGCTGCCACTTTTTCTCTCCCTCTCCCCCTCCTCTCTTCCAATTCAAAGATTCAATTGAGAGATCGATGACCACAGAAAGCAGATAGAAAAAGGAAAAGCCGTATTGCAAACACCATACACCCACCAACGCAAAGTGAAAGAAGAAAAGAAGGAGAAAGAAAGTTATTCAAAGATTCATTCAATGCTCTCTTGGAACATAACAAAGTGTCCAAAAGCAACACACGCGAAAGCAAAAACCAAACACATAAAGGCCCTGCCTTTTTAAACAATGGCTGGAACTTGAGCACAGTGAAGACTGCTCCTCCACTTTTGCTTACTGGGTTTTTCCCTTTTTCCCTTTTCTTTTTGGCTCCTCCTTTCTTTTCTTTTTTTCTTTTGGGTTCGCGGGTCTTCTGTTCCTAATCTCGGGTTTTTCGATTTCAGACCTTTTTCTTCGGATCTGAAGAAGCAGTTTTGTATCTTCAGAAGCCAGCAAGAAAACAAAGATCTTTAAGGAACCTATCCAATTTTTCCTTTCGTCCCCCTGCGTCAGCAATACCATTTTCTTCCCTTATTTAATGGTGGGTTGCCAATAAAGTAATCATTTACTAATTCCCCTCCTGAATAATCAAACTGGTTCTTTTCTTCGTGTCAACTTCGGTGGAAGTTTTAATAATTATTGGGCTCTGACAAAGAGCGTGTCTTTCCGATTCTATCGCGGTATTCTCAAAGACTCGGGAGAGGAGAAGGGAGGACGAGACGAGAGGAAGAGGGGGACGAGTCGTCGTGGGGCTCGTGAAAGAGTGTGACAGTTCTGATTCTGAAAGCAAGGCAGTGTGTCTTAACTGGACGTGTTAACCGTGGTTAACTGATCCTGTACCTAACGAGCGGGACATGTTAACTGTAGTTGTTTTGTTCCAAGAATTATGCAGAAGAGAAGAGAAAGAGAAGAGGGTCTCAACTCAAATCCTTTCATAACCCCGAAAGACTCAAACCCGACTCGTTTTGGTGCTCCAAAGTTCCAAAGCACCTAAAGCAGGCTCATTCTAGCTTCTTTTATCCGGTTTAAATTTGTTAATAAGTTTAATGTGGGCGTGCAAAATGGTTTGTGAATTGTCTCGGCAAATGTCACTACCAACCTTTCTAATATTATCCTAATCAGACTTGCTGTTTTTAATGGAAAGACAGTATTTTGCTGATGTATGCATTTGAGCTCGGGTTTGCCGATACCCGCTAGATGAACGAATCATAGACATGATCTAAAGCCCGACAAGCTTTTCTAAATGAAATCCAAAATTTGTCACGTAGTCTGTAATCCGAAATTCGAGGATGACCTATCAGGGTTCGGACCCCGGTCAGGTTTGCCGGGTTATTTGTGCCTAGCTTTCAGGGTGAACTATTTGGGCATAACCAACACGGACCTCAGTGCATCAGTCTGAAAGTAACTGATTCACCATGAAATGAGGTCCAAACTTGCTCCTTTCAACCAAAACAGATAAATTAAAGGCACAAGAAGGCCAAACAGAGAATTGTGACGGGCAAGGAAGGTACAGAATGAGACTCAAATGGTTCAACAGTAAAGAACGGGCAAGCTTGCTGCAATAGTGAGGTCCAATTTGTTAAGGCATTCCAAGTCCGCAAATATACGATTCTGTAACATTGCTTTACAAAATTTTGGAGCTGTGCATGATGACACTGCTATAAACGTTCAAAAGTTTCCAAAGTTTAAGGAAACACAATCTACTGTACTCAGGACAAAATGGTAGCCTTAACTGCTCGGTCGGAAACCATCTGATCCTCAGATTGATCCGCAAAAGAAACTGCCTTTTCCGTGTCAACGACATCGTCGTCATCCTCTTCCTCTTCCTCTTCATCCTCTTTGTGATCATCATTATCAACAAATCTTAAAACCCCATTCACCTTTAGCTCGGGGCGCTGCTGACTTACATTGCCAACGAGCAAATTGGCCTCTGCAAGTTCCTCCGTTGTTTTTGCCAGGGAGAGAAGCACGTTCTTTGCTTTCTTGTCAGGATGAACCCCAGAAGACTCCATTTCCTTGAACCACACCAATGCGCTGTCAAAATCCTTGTTTTTACCGTATGCATCCATGATCGTCGTGAATACAGTTTGATTTGCTTTGATTCCGCAGACTCGCATTTCTTCATACATCTTCATCATCTTCTCCAATTTATTCACCCTGGCATAACCTTTGATCATCGTCCCATAGGTAACGATATTCGGATCAAACCCGTCCTGCTTAAGCCTTCTGAAGAACTTCTCAGCACCATCCATATCCAATGCATTCACATAGGCTGATAACATGGTTGTGTAGGAGCAAAGATCTGGCATGTACCTACCGTGAAAAACGAAAAGGTTAAAGCCATTTTGAAGGAAGGTGGAAGAATGTAAGATCAGACATGGTGGTATCACAATGCTAGGCAAGAACATTCAGCAATTTAGGAGACGTTCTAATTAGCCAGAGATTAAGGGAGAACTAACTGACAAGAATGACAGTATAAATAACAACACCGAAGAGGTAAAACCATTTCTCCTCCTCTTTCAGCGAAGTTTGTAGGTTATTGTCAGCTCCGTCATAATCGAGATGACAACTGTGAAGGCAAACAAATTTAGTATCTTTAATCACAATGGTTTTGTCGAAACAGATGAGGAAATGTGCTCTTGTGCCACAACTATATAGATAACTCTACCTAAAAGACTTAACAGTCTGCACTAACGGTAAACACTACATGTTCATCCCGGCAACTTCATTTTCTAGAGTCAGAATCTGAGATGTTCAAGGAATCTATGCATAAGTGTTAGGATTTACATGTTCAGTGCAAAGTACATATGAGGTGTGAAATACAATGGCCTCACAATGGATAATTGGAGTCAAATGGGTTATTGATATACTAATTGGCCCTCAACTCATTGACATGGAACTTTTCGAGCAAAATGAGATCTCACCAAGTATGTTAATAGGCTCAAATTTGAGCTCGACCTTGTGATCTCCCAGTAATAGGTATAGGTTCAAAGGTGTGCCTTATGGTTAGAGGGATCCAACATAGCAATAACATAATTTGGTATTATAGAAGTCCAGCCGTACTGTTTGAGTTATGGAAGGTCAGATGCATGCTCTGTTGACATAGATAGGTCTGTAGAAAGCTTTGTTGGGGATCATAGCAAGTAGTTTGACTTTCGATCAGAATGATGAACTTACGAGGCACTTCCTGTGATTCAGTTGTGCCCCTCCAATGAGTTTAACGTGAAATGATTCTCGAGAAGATGGACGCTGAACTGCTTACGAAGCGACTTTCCGTATGCTGCAGGGGATCAGCCATCAGTTCTCAGTGTTCACCTTGATGAATTCAGAACCATGGTCATGGATCTAGAACGTACAGATGCTTAATCAATCATGAGGATTATCCATTTTTTGTGTGTTCATTCCTTCCTTCTACACGTTGAAATCAATCATGAGGATTATAAATTTTTGGTGTGTTCATTGCTTCCTTCTACAAGTTCTTTATAGAATCTTCGCATATAGCAAAGACGCAATTTCTATCAATGATGTTAAGGCGGCACTGCAGTCAAGGAATTGATTGAAAAAGAATTGACTGTTGGCCAGGAAGAAGTTTGGTAACTGGAGGAAGGTCAAGGAAGAATTCCAGTCATCAAATATAAGAATACACATCAAAGTCCAGTGATAAAGATCTTCCTTGCAATAACTGTGAGGAGAAGGGGCATGCTAAGGCGAATAGTTACATATTAATAAATAGACCGCCTAAGGATGGTCAAAGGGATAAAAACAAAAATGAGAAAACAGACGCAAGCTTTCATGGCTATGTTGACGCTGATGTTCTTTTGGGGACCAATGCTGAGCCATGGTCAGCAATGCACATGCCAGATCCAGAATGAGAATGAATCATTCTTCCATGTCGCAATAGAGATTTATTTTCCACATGAACCACATAATGGTGGAGTTGTGTTGGTGGATGTTAATGTCGACTGTAAGATTTTTATAATAGGAACACTCCGAGTAAGGATGCACGATGCCATTATGAGAACATTGATCATGATTCAACACATACTAGAACCTATGCAGGACTTGATTCCAATTAAAGTTAAAAGGATAAAAAAGAACTTTCAAACTACCTGTCCCTTCTCATGCTCTTGAATACGGTTCGTGCTTGCTCCACCATCCCAGATATTGCAAATGCATCAAGTAAAATATTGTAAGCTTTGTGGGTAGGCCTGGACAATAATTAACAAAGTAGATAACCATCAGCTCAAGTGTTTAACAGCATTATCATGAACACATCTTCATTTAATGTTCCTTCACCCAGAGAGAGAGACACAGACAGAGACAGACAGAGAGACAGAGAGTGAGTATGACCCTTATTGGAAACAGGATGCTGTGCTTCAATGGACTAAGACTACAGGAAGAAAGAGTAGTCCAATGTCCTAAACAATCATGGATCGGATTCGACACTCAATGAACATAACAAATCATGCAACTATTCCTCTGTTCAACTAAAAGAATACATCAATTAGTGGTGAGATGTTAGACTGAATGATAACTTCCACTTTAGCAAAAGAATTGCCATACTTCTTTTAAGCCACTAATGGAGCCATTGATTTTTTGATAGGTAAAGCAAACATTCACTATAGGGCACTGATAGGGTGCAAAACCATATACAAAAGGAGCTCCGAGAAACCGATGCAAAGTTGATTCAACAGACACGGCATCTAGAAGTCAGTCCACAAAAATGAAGCCATTATATAGATGGGAATTTCTTAGCTGCTTCACATCATACAAAACTTTTTTCTCAGACTATAACTCAAGCTTCAGTTGGAAAGTACACAAATTTATGAAAAATTCGAGAACTTAAAAGTTGACTATTAATTTTCTGCTTTAATCTCAAGTGGTTAAGACAAACACCACACCTACCTGACACTGGCATTCAGCATCTCCTCAAATACAGCTAGTGCTTCTTCCTCTCTCCTGGCTTTCCCATAAGCATTTATAAGCAAGGCATAGCTCACAACATCTGGCCGAAGACCAGCTCTTTGCATCTACAGGTAACCAGTAATTTCAGAAAGCTGATGGACACATAATCAATGGGCGACAAAAGGATGTGAATCATTTAGCCAAATAGACAGTAAAATAGCATAGTGGATTTTGAAGGCTGAATTTTCTAGATATTCAAAATGTGCAAGGATTTGAACAGCGTCCCCACATGTTTAATGTAAGTTGTTAAATTGAAAGTTTCAAATTATGCTCTGCAAACATCAGCTATGTACATACCATGAAAGAATTTTTGCAGCAATTACTTGAGCTTGATGGTATTATGTAAGATGACAGAGAAAGAATCCACAAAAAGTCAAAGGTATTACATACAACAATCAAGCCTTATTATGACATACTCCAGAATCCTGATGGCAAAACAAAGAAATTTATGGCCCTAGTATCATAATACTTTATTATCAAATAAAACAGTCTTTGCACTCCAAAAGCCAAAAACCCTTCTCTTTTATCCCTTTCCACCTTATGCCCCCCACCCCATCATCAAGCCAGTTCTGTAAAGTACCTGATCATATATCTTTGAGACCTCCTTGTAATTAGTTTCAAATGACATGAGGCTATTGTATGTCACGGTAGACTGCTGCACTCCTCTTTCGGCCATCAAAGAGAACATCTGACGAGCTTTCTCATAAGTTCCGGCTTTCTTATACATATAAATCATCATGTGGAACATTTGCTGGTCAGGCTTAAGAGGGGATCTCTCCTTATCTAAAAGGGTCTCAAAGACTTCTTCAGCCTCCGCAAATTTGTTACCCTGCAGCAGCCCCAGTAGCAGATATGAAGTTGCCGGTTCAGAATTATAGCAAAATTGAGCATTCTAAATAAATACCTCAACAAATGTTTTAAGAATGATTTGATACGTAAAAGCAGAAGGCTCAGGGCCTGAAGACTGCATCCTTCGAAATATAGCTTCTGCATTGTTATATCGTCTTCCTCTACCATATGCTTCCATAAGGGCAGTGTAAGCAATCACATTAGGGGCACATTTTTTCTTGTTTATAAAGCTCATGACTCTTTCAGCCCTGTTGAAGTCCCCTTGCTTTCCATAAGCTGTTATAAGCATCAGTAGGTCCATCTCGCTGAAATCCCACCATTGCTGAATCCTTAGCCACTCAAGAATCTAAAAGGAAATACAATCATACAGAAGAAAAAGGCCAAACATTCAAATTATCCAGCAGAAAAAAAACGAACCACATCAATTAACTCAGGAAAAGTATACCTCACTTTATTCTCAATTAGTTCAAGGCAAAGAGACAATCTAACTGTTAACGGATTGCACACCAAGGAGGTGTGATGTGAAAAAGAAAAATTTAAGTAAAACCATATATTTTCAGTATAGAAAACAAAAGACAGTCTCAACTTTCAAAAGGTCCTATTTTCTCACGCAAATTTCCGTAAGGAAGAGTCAAGAAGACAAAATTCTCTCATGCGATTTCTTTTTAGAACCCAAATGAACCATCATTTGCAAGGTGTCAATATATTGACCATGATTTCCCCTGTGAGCAAATTCTAGCGGTACTAATATTTAAAAAATTATCCTGATTAAAGAATATCTTCATCATTTAAAAAAAACTCCATTGACTATCCGATAATGAGATCATCGCAACAATGCTTGAAGCTCTACTGTTGAACATAACAATGCATAGGCATCAGCATAACAAATTGTCACTTTATCGATGACGAAGAGGTTGCGCTAGACATCTGAAAGAATCGCAACACCAAATATTTTTCAGAAGCATACAAGTATCTGTAGTTATAGGCCATATTGTACATTAAGTTCTTAGGATATATTGCAGTGTCCAGAGTCTAGGTCTTCAAGATGGTATATATAGTTCAGATATCTCCTCTTGGTAATAAGCATAGCAGGATACCTAACCTCATACTAGAGAATGTCTGATTTACGTTTTCTTTTTGTTCAAATATTATATACGAAGAGCAAAAAAGAATCCTCATGTACAACAATGTCACGTACGTGCACATCGCATTGGCCACTGTCACCATCATCCTGTGGGAAACTAAAACTAAAGCTTTCGCAGAATAAGGTACTTCCGGAAACATGCATTTAGAGGTGTATGGGCAATGAACATGGGAAAATTAACTTAAAATTGGTCCCCATACCTCACTAACAAGGTTCCATTTCTTTAGCTGCTTGAACCTTTTTAAGGTTCCCAACACGAGGTCTCGCGGAAGCACCTGCGTCCGAGCCCTCTCAGTCTTCAGGACAGCCGCCGCCGAGCCTGCTTCCTCGATCTCCTTCATCAGCCTCCTCCAGTTCTTTTGATAGGCTTCGTCGGCGGCGTCCTTGAAAACTTCCACCTTCTTCCTCTTCTGCATGAATTTCCTCGGCGCCAACATCCCCATACATACTACCCCCACTCTCCCACGTACACTGACCCTATCGCTAATGCACGTCCCACATATCTCTGGTCTACTGAAGGAAAAAAAAAGAGTTACAGTTAATTCAAGATTGTCACAGATTGCAACCACCAAAGAAATGCAGTAGAAAGAAAGAACAACGACAGTTACAGATAAAGAACAGCAAAGTCACATAAGAGTGTCAGCAATCAACTGAAAGAAAAAAAATTCAATCTTGCAAATGGGTGATGAGAAATGGAGCCAAATTTCACTTACCCATTTCGAAATGCACAAGAAACAAAGAGAACCAACGCCCATATTGACGAAACCCATCAGACACTATTCAGGGTTTTTATGGGTTTAAACAGAGCGCAGGAGAAAAACTCAAGGAAGGGGACACGAAACAAACCTGCAGTCATTCAAAGGAGCTGAAAGGAACGGCTTCAGAAAGAGGGTTTGGGGCATTTGAGAGAGATTGGCAGACCCTGCTTACTTTCAGGCCTTCTTCCAGGATTTGCTTCCGAGAATATGGTTCAGGTGAAGCAGCTCTTGTTGGGGGGTGAGGAACTCCGAGATAGTTTGGTTTTTGTTGTTTCAATAAAAATCTTATCTTGAGAGAGAGAGGAAAGAGAGGAATAGACAAGCAAACCAACCGCCAGCTGCGAACCGGTTCAACTGTGTTATGAAGAAAACCGGTCCGTTCCGACCCACGTGTCCGAGAAAGAAGGTTTGGGACATTCACGTTTATTCTTATTGACGGCTCTTTTTTTTCTCTATATGATTAAACTCACGTTTGGACTTGGGTATGTTCTTAAAAAGTTTCATCCGGACCTCAGGATGTCGAAATAAGAGAGTATTCCAAATCTCTCCCTAGAAGAAAAAAACAACACCGGAGAGAAATTAGGAATGGGCAAGTAGACCGGCCGCCGGTTGCTCAATAAGGCGTTGTAGCTTGCACAGATGGCAAAGTCAATGGATAAAATTATCCTTAATCGCTACATTTTCATTTAACGTAATGACTCGTAATTTATTTACTTTCTTTCTTATATGAATTTTTCAATGTCTAGGATCCAGTTGCCATATTAAAAATTATCACATGTTTTGTTTTAATTTATTATGAGTGTGCTATTCATATTGTAGGCACTATGTTTTCTCTTCATTTTTAGATTTTATTTCTGTAGAAATTAGTTTTGTCAAAGAGAGAAATTTCCAAGAAATCTAATTTTGTTCTGTATTGTCGTGCAAATTAACGGAATAACTATCTATCAAGTAGAATCTAGAAAAATCTCGACATACACTACTTTTTAACATAATCATGTTGTTGTGCACATCATCATCAAACTTTTCCTTATCAATTGTCTTTGACACAAACGTATGATGGGATGAACGAGTGAAACTCGATTTTCCAAAGCAAAATCACAATTAGATTCCCAACTTGAAATTTCAAAAGATGAAATCTAAATAAATCAAAACTTTAATTACATAAAATAATAATTATTTATAAGATAATGCCGGTGAAATTTCATTCGTTTTGGACTGATAAAACTTGAAGTGTGTAAATTTTTCATGCAGATATTTTCAATGTGTTTTTGCATATTTCTTTAACATCTTATATATTATGTCTAAAAGTATCTCATCAATAGTAAGGAAACACACAGATTATTTGATATAGTAAATATAGAGACTTGATTTTTTTTTTAGACCAACGAAATTAAAAAATAAAAAAGTTCACTGGGAAAGCGAGCTTGTAGATAAGAGGGACAAAGAATACTTATGTTATAGAGTAACGGTGAATAAGATACTACTAAGTTAAAGAAAACTAATTACTATGTAAATATCAAAACCATTCAGGCCAACTGAGTATGATTCAATCATATAGAGGTTGGAAATAGCCCCGTCCGCATACTCACAATACGCATCTTCTTTTACCCCTTCTTAGTTTGAACGTACTACATTATGTACTACTTTATAGCTTGATGCACCAATTCAACAGAGACAATTTAACAATTTTTTTGCTTGTTAATTGTGCATAAACGTTATCTTTTTGACTAATGTGTTTTAATGGGGAGAAAAAGAGCCATGGACGAAATTAGGGAAGAAAATGAACTCCTGTATGCCAAAGCACCTTAGTTTTCCCGAGTAACATGTGAAACTATCAGTCTTCCGGTGCATAGGATAAATCCTGTGAGGCACATATAGTTATTTGACAAATCCAAAAACGACACGAACTCAATATACATAGGTTTATCAGCTTGATCAACAAGTTATGGTTGTTTTTTCCAATGACACGGTTCGACGCAAGTACAAATTTCATATATAACACTCGATTGTGAACACAAATTGCCAACCGTATGCATGCATCAATGACCAAGGAACTTGTTCATATGGATTAGAGAGGCACGCACGCATGATGATGGTAGTACAGTAACCCGCTGTGAAAACTAATGTCCGCTTGCATTGCACACTGCAAAATTTTCTGCCAAAAGATGCGGTCCTTTCTCGTTCCATGGGAAGGTTTCTGAGATTATATATTCAGGAGGCTAAAATCTGTGATCCTAGCTGGTTCAGGCACAAAAACACCATCTGCTGGTTTGCAAATTCACACAGTAATCACCACGCGCGGATAAAGCTTTCAAGTTGCACCAGAAAAACCTTTCTAATTGCATGTGACGGTACTTCCATTCCACGAGACTAGCAAACTAAAAATAAATCGGAGCAGATTCAGACAAAAGGACTCAAAATTCGGCAATATACAAAAATTTCTGTCTCACTATGCTGGAAGCAGCTAGATATGCTGCCAACCACGATCTCGATCCTTCGCTTGCTTCATCGAGGCTAGGCTATGGACAATGTGCCTCTTCAGGGAGTTCAGCCAGAAAAGAAAGCTTATTAGGTGAACAAAGAGCGCAAACGCAGGATTGCACTCATTAGCAGGATGCAACGGGCTTTGTATGGGCAGGAGATCGCAATTGAGAAATGGCAGTGTCACCATCTGCATCCTCAAGAGGTATTGGTGCTCCACTAAGATTCTTCCTGAGCAGCAAATCAGAAGTATCAGATGTGCACAATCCAAACAACAAGTATCGTCTTTAAGTATTAAGAACTGAAAGCTGAGGAAACTTACAAAAGTACAAACTCAATGAATTAGCAAAGACGATGGTATTACACATGCTCTGCCATTTCTTTGCTTTAACATTTCAACAAGATGTTCATGGCAAAGCTGAATGTAAATTCACTAAGAAGGCTGCTAAGGGATTCAGATGAAAGCTTAAGCTAGCTTGAATTTGCCACATATTCGAATCAAGATAACTCAAAAGGCGTGGCATATAAAACACAAAAAAAGGAATTACAGTTGCAGATTCAACAGGCAAGGTGTACCTCTGAGAGACGAAAGTTTCCTCAGATAAAGCCTTTTCCAACCTCTCCTCAAATGGTGTTGCGTGCCAGCTTACTTTCTGATCCTGCAAAGAAAGCAAGATCTTGTCATATCTTATGACAATATATTCAAGTTTGTGCCTATTGGATGGGAAACAGGAAGATGCACCTCCTTATACTTGTTAGTCGAATTAGGAATTCCATTCCCATCCCACCACTTTTGTGAGACATGAGATTGTTCCTCTTCCTTCCAATGTGCAGCAACAAGCCCAATGATTGGTCTATCTGTGGGAGTTCTAGTAAGACGAGTTTTCCTGTAAGATACAGATCCAAATTTGCTACCGTCATTTTCCAAGTGAAGAGGCGGCTTCAGCCAAGCTGACAAGGTTGTTTCACCCTTAAAACCCTGCTCGGAACAAGTCTCGTCCAACCATGTTCCCCTGTTCAATGTTTCATTTACCGGCTGCCCAAGTGATTCATTTAGCTCGCCCAAAGGTCGATGATTATGACCATCCTCGTCCTTAAAAACCTTCAACTGCATGTTATTCTGGTAGGAACTTGGAACTGAATAAATATATTCAGACCTGATCCTTGGCTTTCCATATGGTAAATTTTCCATGTTCGCCGGGAAAACAGTTCCAGGTGTCTGCATCTCATCGGATAGCTTTAGAGGGGTTGGATAAGGTGAAAGTTTCATTGTACTCTGATTACCCAGGAATTCAGAATCTTTGATACCGTGGCTAGTATCTATTCTAAGCGAACATATATCAGTGCCAGGATCAAAATGAACCGACTTGTTCCTATTCTGAGTGTGTGAGGCAGAAGGCCAAGTTGTGATTGGAGTTAAAACACTGCTGTTCTCTACAGCTAGAATCTCGGTTGCCATATTCACATTCTCTTCACTACTGCCTTCGGTAGAGTTCAGAGGAATGCTAAAAGTGCTCTCAGCGTTTGATTTACAGCTGCAAAAGAAGGAAGCAATCAAAATAATCAATCATCTGAAGGACAGAAGTTTTATCAAAAGTTTAGCAAGACGTTGATCCTAGAGTTGTAAGGAAACACCAACGGATTCATTACAAGAAGACAAAAAAGTATACTCAGTTTGAAATAATATACAACTTCATAGACTAGCAACGGTTTCCTTATAACCATGGGAATGTGTAAAATTTAACTTTTGCTTTGTTTCTTAGTGGACAACAAAAATTAGTTTAAAAGCTTCTTTCTTGAAGATTTATTCCCCTGCTAAGTTAAACATTTCATCTGAGAAATCCATCATTGCAGATTACGAACTATTAGGAATATTCACCTTGTAGGCGCATGCTCTTGAGAAGCAGAATCACTTCCAGAATCTACGAAAAGTTTGACAGGTGTTGGGGAAAGTTCAGTAGGCTTAGTCAGCTGAAGTTTCCTGACAGATGTATGAGGAAGCCATGAGTGGAACTTTGAACTTTCTGAATCTTCGCGATTCGGTGGTGAAAACATGAACGTGTCTGTTGCTTTCCGAATTTCTGCAGGAGTCTCCGGTAAGGTTCCACAAGCTTTAAGGAACTTAGCCTGTTAGATAAATCTGAGTTAATAGGAAGTCAATGAAATGGACGGACCAGAAGTAGCCAACAACTCCAATTAAGTAAAATTCTACATTTGTGACAATGAAATCAAAAAGCACAAACTACCTTATTCAAACTCCTCAGACAGTGTGACCTCTAAGCAGAGAGTTAATGTTGCCATGATAATCTAGCCCTCTATCCTCTAAACTAATAGAACGTACATACGACAGACAGTTTATGCCATTTAGAATAGAAGACATTGGCATTTTGAGGCTTTGACCAGTATCAAGAACAGGAATTGACAAATTGGGAGGAAAAAGAAAAGAACCGAGAGGCTTCGCAGGATTACTGGAAGTGCCTTAAAGCCTACACAAGTATTGTTAAATAAGTTTTAACTCATGAAAAACAGAGAGCCTTCATCCTTGGTTTCGTCTTGAGTCTTAACTATAGGAGCATGAGCAGAAAAATTCCTCAAAGCGCACGATTCAGATAACCATACAGTCACTTCATAGCAAAATGAATATTAGGGCCATATTTTCCTCCATCCAATTTTCTCCGACCATACCTCTAATTGGTGGGTTACAAACTATAGACAGCCCACTTGTAACCCAACAATCAGAAGCATGATTGGAGGAAATTTCTCCCAACTAGGATGGAGAAATATATAGCCCAACTAGATATTAGTAACTCATAAACAAAATAGAAATTTGTCTTCTTCTTCTCATATGGTGCCTCTAGAGTGTATCGGTGGCTATGTTTCAATTGCACCAACAGCAACAAATCACCTGGGCTCGTATTCATCTCTCACTAAGATACAGGAGAAAATTATAATGCATCCCCCCCATATATTTGCCAGATTACAAGGAGGCCGTCTTTATTCGGGAGACTAAACTCATACCTCTAACAGGAAATATGTTTGAAATTACCTATAGATGTACACCGAGCACATCATTTACCTGGGGACCAAAAAAACATGAAATTCAGAGATAGATGTACCTCATCTTTGACATCCTTGCTGATCTGCGGAGTTCCAAAGGAGCGATCTTCCAGATCCTCGCTTCGAACGTCTTCTCTATCTTAAGCGAAACAATGACATTCCATGTCAGAAAGGGGCAAAAAACAAAAACGCAAGACTGAAAGCCCTACATTGGCTAGAGCATAGAACCTAACCGCGACTCTGTTTACGCAGAATAGATCAAATCATCTGAAACGAAAGTCGAGAAACAAACCAATCCTTAAGATGGTCCAACAAAAGCAAACGTTCACCTTCAGCTAAAAACAACGACGACAGCCGATTCCGAGACGCCAACGCCTCCTGCAAAAACAAAGCAAACTCAGCTCTCCGCGAACGCTTCGACAATAGCAGAGCACCCAACGGCGGGGGGGGGGGGGGGGGTTGGATCAAAAAGGCGAGCGCTTTCCTGCGGCTCCGCACCCAACTCGACAAACCCATCTCCGCAACTCACCGCGGCTTTCCTGGGTCGAGCCGTTTGAGGCAGGTGGCGACGCCCTCCGCCGCCGCCGCCGTCCCTGGCACGCAGGCAGACGAAGAAGCAGCCCATGGCGAAGCCCAGCGAGCGGTCGAGAAACCCGAGGAAACTCCGGAACGCAAGCCCGAGCTCACGATTTAACAGTGCGCATATCATCTGGGAGCAGCGAAGCACCACCTCTCTCTCGCCCCTTTGCGTTACTGGGTCATCGGTGAGGTGAGGGAGAAGCTCGAAGGAAGAGAGAGAGAGAGAGAGAGTTGTTGAGTCGTTTTTGAGGATTTGAACCGACTGGGAACGAGGGAAAAGACGGGCCTCCCCATCGGAAAGCTCAGAGGATGCGACTGGGATTCTTTCGGCGGTACTCGCGCTAGGGAGCTGACACGTCGCGATGGTTGAGGTTATTTATTTTTTGCGGATTTTCTGTTTTTTCCCTTATTGAATTTTTGCAATCGAGTCATTTAATTTGTGTAATCGGATGTTTCCTTGTGTGTTGCGTTTTCCTCGGATCCTCTTTAACGAGAAAATACTCGACATCCAAAAATTTAATTAATTCGAATGAGTTTCAAATTGGAAATGGAAAATTATAAGGGATAATGACATAAATAGTTTCTGAGCTTTGGCCTAATGTGTAATGTGGTTCGTGTACTTTTAATTTGCTTAATGTGGTCTCTGAACTTTGGCCTAATGCACAATGTGATTTCTGAAATTTTAATTTATTTAATGTGTTCCATGAATTTTTGGTAATGTTCAAGATAGTCCATTGATTATATAAAAATTACAATGTTATTCTTCCATTAATTCAAGTTTAGGGACAACATTTGGCATTTTCATATAGTCCATGGACTAGATTGAATATGTATTAAAAGTTCATGAATCATATTGAACAAATTAAAAGTTCAGTGACGACATTGAATAAATTAAAAGTCAAGAGATCACATTGCACATTAAGCCAAAATTCACACACAATTTTTGTCATTTTCCCAAACTATTATGAACATTTATAAAATCGGCATGCTTTGAACAATGAAAATGCATTTTTCCATAACATGAAAGCACGGCTTGAATTTCAGAGGAGCGAAAATGAATTTTTACTAAGAGAGACACATAAGTTGTAGAAAAACTGTGAATTTTTTGTTAACATGGCAAGGAACATAAGTTAGCTAATGGGGAATAAGAGAATATTATTTAAGCTCCGTTTGTTTCGCGAAAAATGAATGATTTGAAAAATATTTTCTTAAAAATAATTATTTGTATCTTTCGAAATAATTAGTTAATAAAAAATATTTTCATTATCGATAATAATATATTCATTTTTATAAGTGATTCAAGCGATTATTTTTTTGAAAAATGTCGTTGAAATCACTTTTTGACGAGACCCGTTTGTTTGTAAATTAGGCTTAGGTATTTCTTCTTCTTTTTGTGTCTTTCCCTGGCGAAAACGGGGTCGTTGTGCCTGCAAGCGTTACTTTTTCCCTGCATATATAAGGAAGAGAGCCCTAACGAAGGCTCGGCAGAGCACAGGAGTAGGAGGGAAGAAGAAGAAGAAGGAGGCGGGAGGAGGAGGAGGAGGAAGGAGGAGTAGAAGCGGCGAGAAGGGAGGGGCGTGTGGATTCGACCCAAAAGCACTCTGATCGTTGGGGGGATCACCATGATGGCACCCCCACTTCATTCGCATAGTTTTCAATCTGAATCCTCCGCTTCTCGCTGCTCCTCTTGCTCAGCCCCTTCTCCCTCTCTCTCTCTCTCTTTCTCTCTCTCTATCTCTCCCCATCTCTCTGCATGCTCTCACCTGTCTGTCTGTCTGTCTATCTTGTCTACAAGAATGGATAGAAAGCAGGGTAAGCTCGTGCTGGCCTTATGATGGTACTGACAACACACGTCTCTGAAGGCTCAGACTCTCCACTCTCTCTTGACTACTGGGTTAATTTCTCTCGAGCCCCTTTTGATCTTCGTAGTTGGTAGTTCTTATTTTTTTTTCGCTCTTTTTTGGGTTTTTGAGAGATGATGACTGTGCCTTGATGCTGCAGTAGACAGTAGTGGTCGTCGTAGAAATTGATAGAAGTTCGTAGATTTTAGTGTTATACTTGGGGGAACTGTTCATGACCATAAAAAAAAGAAAAACACTCGGGGGAACTGTTGTGTTTTTTTTTTCTTTGCTGCTAAAACGGGGGAAATGTTGTTTGGTCTTGTTGTTCGTTGTTCTGCTGCTGGGATTGTACCAAAAATGTTTTCTTGGCACTTTTTTATGCTCGTTCGAAGTATCATTTGTACAAATAAGAATCCCCTTCTTTACACTTTTTTTTTCTTCGTATAGCGAGATATAGGATATGGGGCTTTTTTTTTTTTTTTGGTCAAAGATCTACGGGGCTTATTTAGAAGTACATTTTGTGCAAAAACCCTTCCTATATGATAGAAAACGGATCTCTTTTGGGATCTTAAATCCCAAGTTTATCCATGAAGTGTACGAACGGTCCTAATTGTTTAATGTCTAGAATTGATTTTTTCTATGTGATACTAATTATTACAAGATCTCGTACATTGAAACCCAGAGGTATGGAATCCGAATCCATTAGTATGGAACATTTTTTTTCACAAGTGAAATTCCCTGGTATATGGAGAGGTGAAAAATTGCTTTCGATGTGGTGGAGTAAGAAGTACTCTTCCTTATGAAAGCAGTGCTAGGTTGAATTAGGAGTAATGTGTTGAATCATATTGGTGATTTATTCTGAAAGTTATGATAATTTGTCGTGATCAAGTGTTGAAAAACGTCACGGAACATAGCAAATCGAGCAAATGAGCCACTGCACCATGAAAATCCCCCATCTTGTCGAACACAATCAATGACTCCGGTATCAAATTCTCGAATCGAGCTTCCATACTCGACTACCCTTGAACTTCAACTTAGTGACTTAAACGACCATCATTGCCGAGAAGAGGGAGAGTTAAGCAGAGGGATAATACTGGTGATTGCTATATGGCAAAGTCTCAACCCCTCAACGGTCTAGATTATTTAGTAGTGATGCATGGTGAGTTTGGGTGAGATTGTTAGGAACGAGTATTGGCAGAACCAAAGTATTTTATGCGTTGGTGGGAAAATAAGATTGGGATAAAATAAATTCACCGCCAAAGAATTAGATAAAGAAGCGAAATAATCACTCACTTGGAAAAAATTCTTGTACAATTTCAGCTCAAAACTTTGCATGATGGCGACCCCAAAAAAAAAACGTCCCATGCTTACAATTGACGATGCACCTCTTATTTATAGAAGCAACAAGAAACTAAACTATGAAATATCGTACTGGGGAACCGTCCGGCCTTTGATTCGGCATATTCTTCAATTTCTAGGAAGTCCATTTTGGACTTTTCTTCTCATTGGACCCATTGGATCATGTTGTGGCCGAAATCTCCGTGGGAACACACATCGAATGGTCTCTAATGTAATATGATGCTCTCGCGTCAAGTAGAGACGGTGAATGTGTTAATATACCTCAAACAAATCACAGGAACATGACTCAGAACGTTGATTTAGGATACTAAAGAGAACAATGATTACTAGAATTGTCTATCGTGATAGTGTGCCTTTGAAAATCAATGGGATCTATGGGTGTGTTTGGCAACACTTTGCCAAGGCCCTTTGGGGCTCTAAAGGTCCTCGGGTGAATGCATGTACTGTTTGGTGATTTTTTTTTGGAGAGTTTTCAGGAGATGCAATTGCGTTTTAAAGGCCTCTAAAGCCTTAGCCCATTGCAAGTCCTAAGGAGTTTGGGTTCTTGAGTATAATTGAAATGCTAATATATATATTTTTCTTCTAACTTTGCCCTCACTAAATTTTCTTAGCTTTGGAAATTCTCTCGCCTTACGCCACGTCGGCGAAGGGCTTAGGTTGCCAATGAGCAGCCAGCGAGCCAAATCTAGTCATTAAGGTTAAAGTTGCTTCCCAATATGTTTTTAAATTAAACTTTATCAAATACTATTTGCATTTTAAAAAAAAACTCTTTCACCTAACACTGTTTTCATATCCGATATACGATGTGTCCCTCTTCAATCACTCCTGAGTATTTCTGTTGAGCATGGAAGTCTTCTTAACATGGAAGCGGAGTGATTTTCAGGATTCATTGTAATTAATAGGCAACAAGAAAACCGAGAGAAGTAGTGTATGTGACCTGTATTGCGGGCAGATGTCATCATGATTTATATGCCCGGTGTTCGACTGCTGTCACCTTCATTTCCAATTACATCTGACGAATCAAATATGAAATAGTTTAAAGGATGGATAGTCACGTAAGCATTTCTCTCCTCAAACTTATGCTTTATCAGCGGAGGAATCTGGCATGTCACTTAATACCCAATTCGCGCAAATTTGTAATTGCCTTTCTAAAAGCAGGCGGGCAATGTGAACGGATGAGCAAACATGCAACGTGAATTGACCGTTGAGCACAGGTTCGACTCTCGTTTCGCGAAAAGAAAATCGACGAAGGACAGATCTTTCGAATTTCGAACGGCCCACAAAAGGATCATAATTGGAAGAAGGGAATTCATGGGAGCATGATGAATTTCCAACAATCCTATTGTCCAAATATATCATGTAGTATATACACATTGCAAGAGTAGAGTATTATCCAAATAAGTCAGGAAATCTTGCAAAGAAAACCAAGGCATGTAAATGAATGCGAAATCTGATTCTCCCGAGCTAATCCTAGCAGCATACCAACTGAGGACTGTGCCGTTGACTGATTATGGGGTGGGTTGGTTTATGATGGTAACAACGTGTGCAACTTCGTTAATGCTCTGGTAAGAGAGTTCTTTATAAACCCAGACACAGATTGGGAGGGAGAGTCATTGACTGGTCCATCGAGAAGAGAGAAGGAGAGGAAGAAAAATGGCGGTGAAGGTGTACGGGCCTGACTACGCGTCGCCGAAGCGAGTGCTGGTGTGCCTGATCGAGAAGGGCGTCGAGTTCGAGACCGTCCCTATTGATCTCTTCAAGGGCGAGCACAAAGCCCCTGAATTCCTGAAGCTCCAGGTCTGTCCCTCTTCTGGAAACTCACTTCTCTTTTAGTCGAACTCTCAAACTCGAAGTTATTTTTTATTTGTGGGTACTTAGCTTTTAGAGTATTCTATCTGGTTGATCCTGATTCGGATCGTGTGTATGTGTAGCCCTTCGGATCAGTTCCTGTGATTCAAGATGGCGACTATACTCTCTTTGGTAATGCTCTCAACTCTTGGCTTGCATCATATATTTGTTTTGTTTAGAGCCTTTGGATTTTCACATCATGGTCCTTTGCTCGGGCTTTTTCTAGCCGTCTCGAGATCAAAACGTGTGGATATACGGATGGCGGTTCTTCATCAAGCTGCTATCTTTGCAACTCATTACTCACTCGAGCACTTTAACAATCACTCCGAGGGTTTGTTTATACTCTCACCAGAAGGATGCTAGTGTAATCAAAATGCATTAGCGACGAGAGGGTTTTGAGCTTGGCAATCTGCACCATCCGGCATTTGTTAGGTTAAAGTTAGGTTGTCCTTATAATTATCTAGACTTTCTGGGAGTCTTTCAGCCTTAATCTCAAGTCAATTCACTTGCCTAAGGAACATATGATCTATAATCAAAGCTCCATGGCGAAGTAGTCTGAATCACGAAGGATAAAGAGAACCTGAATTTTCATCTGATTGTGTTTCTGACCGGTGTTTAAGCTGAATGATCAGTGCATAGACATCGAAATGTGTCTACACTAATACTGAGGGTCTAGTGTCATGAGAGAAAGAATCTGCTGGTAAATTCAAAAACGCGGTGCTTGTCTCTTTTAGGTTGCATTCTAGTTTTATGGTGCTTTTCATACGTGGGGATAAAGATTCGTCTGTCTACTCTCTGTAATATATCCTGTTCAATTCATACAGAATCGCGGGCCATCATAAGGTATTATGCCGAGAAATACAAGCACCAAGGGACCGACCTGCTGGGGAAGACGATAGAGGAGAGGGGGCTCGTCGAGCAGTGGCTCGAAGTCGAGGCCCAGAGCTTCCACCCGCCAATCTTCGACCTCGTCCTCAAAATTGTCTTCGGCCCGTTTTTGGGACTCACCCCGGATCCGAAGCTGTTCAAAGAGAGCGAGGACAAGCTCTGTGTGGTTCTGGACATCTACGAGGAGAGGCTGTCGAAGAGCAAGTACCTGGCGGGGGATTTTGTCAGCCTCGCCGACCTGAGCCACCTCCCGTTCACGCAGTACTTGGTGGGCAAAATGGGGAAGGAGTATCTGATAAGGGACCGGAAGAATGTGAGCGCATGGTGGGATGATATCTCGAGCAGGCCTTCCTGGAAGAAGGTCCTCGAGCTCTGGCCCGGTCTGTATTAGGACTGTTTTATTAGGTGCGCCGGGTGCACCCGAGTCTTCGGCCTATGCGAAGGAGTTTTCGATTTCCATGGACTAGCGAGTCTCTCTGTGCCTAATTAGTATGTTTCTACTCGATCCGAATCAAGTGGGTTCGGGCGATCTAATGAGCTCTGTTGAGTCTGATTTGTGAAGATCACGTGTCAAGTTGGATCACTCCAGCAAATTAAACTTCTGCCCAATATGTGGTCATTATTGAATTTTTAATTTGTTCAATATCATCTGCGAACTATTTCTAGATGTTCAATTTAGTCCCTCAACTTTTCATAACAAAGTCAAATCGGTTTTTTGATACTATTCACAAATTTTCGTAAATTACACTATTCCCCAAATTATAGGAGATCTTTTTATTTCAACCAATTTCCTAAATCAACAAAACATATGCTGTGTTTTTGTTACATTTTTACTTGTTTGGTCTTTCTAAATATTACGATAGCTTTAATTAAGTATATCTTAGCTTAGGATCTTTATAATTGTGAAAGTATCTGCATTTAGACTTATGTCGGGCTGCTATTTTAATTTCTTAATTGACAGATTTGACAAAATGTAATTAAGAAAACGTGAAGCACAAAAACTTGAAAATTTTATGTATCTAAAAAATAAAGATTAAGGTTAATATAAGTACATTTATGTATAGATAAATTAATATGGTTGTTCAATATCCTTATGAATAAACTTATTCTTAAAATAACTCGTACGTTAACCTAATATAATTTTAAATGAGATTCTACTTTCAATGTTATAGATATCATACGCTAAAATATACTTTAACGAAATTATCGTAATATTTATAAAGATTAAAAAGGTAATAAAAGTACAACATATTTTTTTGTTGATTTAGGAAATGAATTGAAATGATAAGATATTTTAAAATCTGGGCAACAATTTCGTTATGAAAAATTGTGAATAGTGCTGAAAAACTGATTTATGAAAAGTTGATGGATTAGATTGAACAAATTGAAAGTATATGGAATAGATTGAGCATTTACGAATAGTTTAAAGACCAAAATAAATGAATTAAGGGTCAAGAATAGTGCTTCACATTAGGCCAAAGTTCAAAAACCATGTCATCTTCTCGAAAGAAATTCGTGCAAGCATTGTGACTGTTAATATTCTACTGTCCACGTAACCAAAGGTAAGTCAAGAGAAAATGTTGCAAAGAAATCCAAGGCATATGCGAAATCAAATTCTACAAAGCTAATCAGCAGCACACCAACGTTGACTGAATATCTAACCTTGGATCCCCAAAGGAATCGGGTCGCGATGGGCGAGTTGGTGCATGAAGGCAACGTGTGCAACTTGGTTTAATCCTCTGATAAGAGAATTCTTCATAAACCCAGATGCAGAGCGAGAGAGTCAATGCAGAAAGATTTTTGGCATTGACTGGTCCATCAACAGGGGAGAGAGGAAGAAGAGAGGAAAATGGTGGTGAAGGTGTTCGGGCCTGATTGTGCAGCGCCGAAGCGAGTGATGGTGTGCCTGGTCGAGAAGGGTGTCGAGTTCGAGACCGTCCCTCTCGATCTCTTCAAGGGTGAGAACAGAGCCCCTGAATTCCTCAAGCTTCAGGCCTGTCCCCTGTTCTTGAAACTCAACGCCTCTTTCGATCGAACTCGAGTTTATATCGTCTTTCTTTCTTCGCGTGTACTTAGCATTTGAAGTACTTTATCTGGTTGATTCTGATTCGGATTCGTGTGTGTATGTGTGTCTGTAGCCCTTCGGATCAGTTCCTGTGGTTCAAGATGGGGACTATACTCTGTTCGGTAATGCTCTCAACTTTTGGATATTCACATTGCACGTACTCCGGTGCTTGGACCGATGCACGTGGATGTACGGATGGTTCTTCAGCATGCTTTTCTGTTGGTGCTTGTGTAAGGAAAATAGATTCACTAGTGGAGTTTGTCGGGTTACGGTTTGGTTTTTAAAGTCTAAAATGTTTCGCAATGAGAAGATACCGGAGGAAGTCGAAAAGTTCCAAGTCTATTGACATATTCAATTGATATTAGCTACTTGTTTTAGCTTCCGTACGTCCAGTGATTTGTCTCTGCAACTCATTCCACAATCGCGCGCTCTAGGGATATCTCTGAGGGTTCGTTTATCCTCTCAAAAGAAGAATACTAGTGTAATCAAAATGCATTAGTGGTAGAGGGTTTGAGCTTGGCGCTCTGCACCTTCTGGCATTTGTTAGGTTAAAGTTAGGTTGTCCTTTCTAGTATTTAAACTTCCTAGGAGCGGTTCGCTCGCAATCTCAAGTCGAATCATTTGCCTATGTAACAGACGGTTTCAAATCAAAGCTCTATGGCGAAATAGTCTGAACTATGAAGGATCTGGCATGCGTTTCGGTGACGAGACGCAAGTCTTTCAAGTGTTTACCTCAACAGTCAGGATTGCTTAGGTGGTATTTAAGGAAAAGAGGCCAGACTCATCAGCTGGCTACTTGGGAAGTATCAAAGGAAGAGTAGAGAGTAGCCTCGATGACTATTGTGGAGTTGTCGATAATCTGTTTTGTTTTGTATGTCGGCTGAAGGCTGTCGATTATCTGTTTGAACCTGCATTTTTGTCCGATTACTTTCCTGACCGATGTAGGTGCAGAATGATCAATTCATAGACATAGAAACGTCCCGCTGCGTCTACACCATTACTGTTGGGTCTAGCGTCATGAGAGTAAGACTGCTTGTAAATTCAAAAGCACGGTGCATCTCTCTTTTAGGTTGCATTCTTTTATGGTGCGTTTCATATGTGGGACAAAGATTTGCCTGTCTACTCTCTGCAATGTATCTTGTTTAATTCATACAGAATCGCGGGCCATCATAAGGTATTATGCCGAGAAATACAAGCACCAAGGGACCGACCTGTTGGGAAAGACGGTAGAGGAGAGGGGGCTCGTCGAGCAGTGGCTCGAAGTCGAGGCCCAGAGCTACAACCCACCGATTCATGACCTCGCCATCAAAATTGTCGTGGGCCCGTTAAGGGGACTCACCCCGGATCCGAAGCTGATCAAAGAGAACGAGGACAAGCTCCGTAAGGTGCTGGACGTCTACGAGGAGAGGCTGTCGAAGAGCAAGTACCTGGCGGGGGATTTTTTCAGCCTCGCCGACCTGAGCCACCTCCCGTTCACGCAGTACTTGGTGGGCAAAATGGGGAAGGAGTACCTGATAAGGGACCGGAAGAATGTAAGTGCGTGGTGGGACGACATCTCGAGCAGGCCTTCCTGGAAGAAGGTCGTCGAGCTCTGGCCCGGTCTGTATTAGGACCGTTTTATTAGGCGTGCCGGATGCACCCGAGTCCTTGGTCCATGCGAAGGAGGAGTCACTTTCCGTGGACTAGCGAGTCTCTCCGTGCCTAATTAGTATGTTACTACTTGATCCTAATCGGAGGATTCGGGGGATCGAATAAGCTTTGTTGAGTCTGATTTGTAAAGATCATGTGTCAACTGGGATCACTCCAGTGTATTATCCTGTCGCGGACCTTTCTGGTGTCGTCGGGCCGTGTTCGTGGTTAACTAGTACCACGACAGTGACTTCGGTGAAATGAAAAATTAACCACCTACTTATCAAATCTCAAAGGATCTTTTACAACGTAAAAGGAGTATTTCTATGTAAGTGTTCTTTTAGGCATCCAGTACTCGCTAAACTGGGGTTAGATGAGCTGTTAGGCTCATTCTAGGAGATAATAAACTCATCAGAAGAATGCAGTGCGTCCCTTTGCCATCGAGAAGACCGCGGTGTGCTGACTCTTTTGCATATATTTTCCAGGAAAAATGATTAAGTGATAGTCCTTAATTTATTATGAGATTAACAGCATGTTCGAATTAGGGTGAGCAAGATGGACCGCCCAAATCGGGACCGGACCGACCACGGTTTGGTCCGGTTCTTGAGAATATCGGTTCGGTTCTAGTTCCTAAAAGTGGAACCAGGTTTGAGCGGTCCGGTTCGGCTAAGGTGGAAACCGGACCGTACCACGATAAATATATATTTTTCTAATTTTTTCATATATATATTTATTTACTTTTTAAATATATATATTTAAATAACAAAAAAGCATTTGATAGTTCAATTTTATTCGGTTCCAATGGGACCAACCCAAAAATGCTTTCTATATTGGTCCCGAAAATACTTTCGGTTCCTCTTGCCTTTACCAATTGGTCCCATTGGAACCGGATCGAACCGGCCGGACCGACGGTCCGGTCCGTCCATGGTCCCAAGATTAGACGGTCCGCTCTCGGTCCCTGAACCGGAACGGTCCTCTGGTGGTTCCGGTTCTTGAGCCGACGGACCGGAACCCACCCCTATTCGAATCACAAAAAATATATATAATAAATAATTATAAATTATTATGAAATTCATCCTTTAAGAATTTGTGTCTCATAACATGTTATTTTCACGGTGGTCCTGGCAAAGCCCATTCAGAAGAAAAGCAGGACGTGGGTCCCACGTGGACTATGATAAACGGTTGCCATGCATGTATCGGGCTTTACTTGAAAGCGGTGCATGTTAGAATTTTTTCGGCTTACACTTTTTTTATTTTATTGATGTGACGGCAGCAATTGGGTATTTAGGCACCGAAGACATTTCAAGCATATCTAATAGGAATATGCCATTATGTCTTTATTTATTAGTATCTGTAGCGCTAGTTTAGAATCAGTATAATATCTTATATGATGGTTCTTACATCATGTGGAAATGACACGTGGTGTCACAAGTTAACAACAAGTATGGTACATAAGTCGCCCATTTACATGAAGAATTATGGCCGCCAACAAGCTCCTGCTGGTTGACTCATTTATATCCTCGTTAAAAAAACTCATTAATTCATGGTGTTAATTTAAATTTTATTAAAAAAGTATGCGATTCTAAAGTGACCATAATGGATGGTTATGAACATTTCCTTTCTACAAAGCCATCCTTTCTACGAAGCCGGGATGTCAATATATTCCTTTCATATGTCAAATGGAAACTTAGGCTCCGTTTATTTCGCAAAAAATAAAAAATTTATAAAATATTGTTCTAAAAATGATCACTTGTATTGCTTGAAATAATTAGTCAATAAAAAATATTTTTATTATCAACAACAATTTATATCTAAATCAATGACGTGATAATTTAATTATTGCTAGCCGTCTTACGTAGATGTTGCCACGTCAACGATTCCTAATGGAAATTGGTTATGTATATTGGAATTTCGCCAAATTTTAAAGACAAATTGGCAAAATTAAAAAAAATTATAATTAAATTGACATTCATGCAATAAATTTTGAGATTGATTTGACAATTTCCTCACTTTTCCTTTGGTGAGCCTATTTTCATTTGGGTTAATATCACGAAAAACCCTAAACTGGTACACTTGTGATACATTTACCCCAAACTATTTTTTTGATCACAAAAAACCCCAAACTGATACATTTGTGATAATTTTACCCAGAACTATTTTTTTGACCACCAAAAACCCCAAACTGATACACCTATGACAATTTTACCCTGAACTTACCACAGAAAACCCCAAACTGGTACATTTGTGACAATTTTACCATGAATTAAATTTTTAATATTATTTTTTTGAATTTTTATTAATTTTTTCTTCATCTTCAACCTCTGGCCGGTAGCTGGATCGGCAACCGGCCAGAGGCGGAAGCGGACGAGGTTGGCCCCGCCGGCCGCTGGCGAGGGTCGCCCTCGCAGGCGTCGGGCGAGGTAGCCCTCGCCTGGGCGGGCGAGGGCAACCCTCGCTTACGTCGGGCGAGGGCTGCCCTCACCGGCGTCAGACGAGGACAGCCCTCGCCTGGGCGGGCGAGGGCAACCCTCGCCTGAGTCGGGCGAGGGCTGTCCTCGTCCGACGCCGGAGAGGTCTGCCCTCGCCCACGCCGGCAAGGTCGAGCCTCGCCAGTGGCCGGCGAGGTCGAGCCTCGCCCGAGATCCAGCGAGGGCGGCCCTCGCCGGCATCGGGCGACCCTCGCTGCGTCGGGCGAGGCGCCCTCGCCGGCGTCGGACGAGGATAGCCCTCGCCTGGGCGGGCGAGGGCAACCCTCGCCTGAGTCGGGCGAGGGCAGCCCTCGCCCACGTCGGCAAGGTCGAGCCTCGCCAGCGGCCGGCGGGGCCAACCTTGCCGGCATCCGCCTCTGGCCGGTCGCCGGTACGGCGACCGGGCAGAGGTTGAAGATGAAGAAAAAAAAAGGAAAAGAAAAGAAAAAATAAAAAAATAAAAAATAATATTAAAAAATTAATTCGGGGTAAAATTGTCATATGTGTACCAGTTTGGGGTTTTTTGTGGTAAGTTCGGGGTAAAATTGTTACAGGTGTACTAGTTTGGGGTTTTTTGTGGTCAAAAAAATAGTTTGGGATAAATGTGTCATAAGTGTATCAGTTTAGAGTTTTTTGTGGTATTAACCCTTTTCATTTTGACGATGGTGGGTCTTCGAGCGTGAGCTGGATCTTGTGTTTTGTGACTCGATCCAAGACTGAGTGATTTTTAGGACTCGCTGTAATCAGTGGGCAGCAAGGAAATCAAGAAAAGCAGTGTATGTGACCTGCATCACAGGTCATATCATCACGGTGTACTTTTGCAGTCAGGTTTGATAAATCAAACCCGAAATTGTTTACTGGAGGTATAGTCACGTAAGTGTTTCTCCTCAAGGACACCTCCCTTCAAACACTCGAACCGACAGTCTATCGGTAGCATCTGGATGATGATGTTTTTGCTCATCTAAATCTTTGGTCGCATGGAAAAATGTTATAAAGTTTCTTATATTCTTGCACGCGGTAATTGACTTAGGTGAATAATCACGTCGAGCATATAATAGTCAATCGCCCCTTTCTTCCTCTCAAGGTTAGGTGATCAATAGCCTACTCAATTGCAGGGGCAAAGGAAGTTGACAAAGAAGACCCATTTGGTGATTGATGCAAAGGACACCTCAAAAGTGTGCAACCCCCATTGGCCAAATCTTCCTACTCCCTTGAATATATTGATTAAAGAAGACGCCAATAATTCATTAAACATACTTGTGGACAAAGGCCAATTTGGCCCGTCACCTACTCTACTACCCAATTGGAGCAAATTGACAATCACCTTTCTAGAAAGCAGGCAGGCAACGTAAACGGGTGAGCACGATGCTTTCTTGCCATTTCTTGCTGACGATTACTGTAAAGCGACTGTTCGATCATAGGTTCGACCTTATTTTAGTGCAAAAGATCGACAAAAAGACAGATCTCTCAAGATCTCGAGTGGCCCTTAGAGCATGATGAATTTGCAATGTAGAAGGGGTGAGCACGATGCTTTCTTGCCATTTCTTGCTGACGGTCCTCGTCAATCGACTGTTGAGCGTAGGCTCGACATTAATGTAGTGCAAAAGATCGACAAAAAGACAATCTGTCAAGATTTCGAATGGCCCCGCAGAGCATGATGAATGTCCAACCTTACCCAATTGTGTCCAACCGTATCCACACCGGAAACACATTGAAAGAGCGCAGTATATCCAAATAAAGCCAGAGAAAATTCATGGCATGGAACTAAATGCGAGGGCAGACTGTGACGTGGACTGATTAGCTAACCTTGGAACCCCCAGGGGAATCAGGTCGTGATTTGGTGGGTTGGTTCAGTGAAGATAACTTGGGCAACTTCGTTCGGTGCTCTGATGCAGTGCGTTTCTTTATAAGGCGAAGAGACACACGGTGGGAGAGACCCATCGAGAAGCGACAAGGGCGGGAGGCGGGTCGTGATTTGGTAGGTTGGTTCCTTGAAGATGACGTGGGCAACTTCGTATGATGCTCTGATGCAGAGCGTTTCTTTATAAGCCGAAGAGACGCACAGTGGAAGAGACCCATCAAGAAGCGACAAGGAGAGAGAGAGAGAGAGAGAGAGAGAGAGGGAGGGAGAGAGAGAGAAATGGTGGTGAAGGTGTACGGGCCTGACTACGCGTCGCCGAAGCGAGTGCTGGTGTGCCTAATCGAGAAGGGCGTCGAGTTCGAGACCGTCCCTATCGATCTCTTCAAGGGCGAGCACAAAGTCCCCGAGTTCGTAAAGCTCCAGGTCTGTCCCCTGTTCTTGAGAACCCACTTCGCTTTCAATCAAGAACCCTCGAAAGCTTGACTCTTTATCGTGTCTCCTTTCGTGGGTACTTAACATTTTAAAGTGTTTTTGTCTGATTGTTTCTGATTCGGGTCGTGTGTGTACGCTGTGTACGTGTAGCCCTTCGGATCAGTTCCTGTGGTTCAAGATGGCGACTACACTCTTTTCGGTAAAGCTCTCGGCTCTTTTGGCTTGCGTCGTTCTTCTGTTTTTGTTTGTTTTGAGCCTCCGGATTATCATATCTCAGTCCGGGGCGCTTGGACTTTTTCTTGCGGTCTTGAGATCAAAACACGTGCATATATGGATGATTCTTCAGCATGTAGCTGCTCCTAATTTACTATGCGCTGTTTGTTCTGTAATCGGCCAGCGAAGCGTCGCGAAAGTCTAAAAAGTTCCGCCATGAGTAGATAGATACCAGAAGAAGTTGGGAAAGATCGAGTCCCACTGACATGTTCAGTTGATATCAGCTACTCGTTTTAGCTTACATACATCTACCGTTTTATCTTTGCAACTCGTTACAAGCGTTTTGTTAGGTTGAAGTTAGGTTGTCCTTTTCATTATTTCTAGTTTCTGGGAGTCGTTCACTCTCAATCTCAAGTCAAATCATTTGCCCGAGGAACAGATGATTTGAATCAAAGATCTAAGGCCAGAGTCATAGCTTCCATATCTGTTGTGGAGTTGTTCATGATCTGTTTCTTTTCGTATGTCGGCCTAAGGGTCGTGGATTATCTATTTGGAACTGCGTTTTCATCCGATTATGTTCCTGACGGGTGTTTAAGCAGAATGATCAGTGCATTGCCATCGAAATGTCCCACTGCGTGTACACTAATACTGTTGGGTCTAGTATCAGGAGAGCAAGACGTCTACTCTCTGTAATATATCTTGTTTAATCCATACAGAATCGCGGGCCATCATAAGGTATTATGCCGAGAAATACAAGCACCAAGGGACCGACCTGCTGGGGAAGACAATAGAGGAGAGGGGGCTTGTTGAGCAGTGGCTCGAAGTCGAGGCCCAGAACTTCCATCCGCCAATCTTCGACCTCGTCCTCAAAATTGTCTTCGGCCCATTTATGGGACTTACCCCAGATCCGAAGCTGCTCCAAGAGAGCGAGGACAAGCTCTGTAAGGTGCTGGACGTCTACGAGGAGAGGCTGTCGAAAAGCAAGTACCTGGCGGGGGATTTTTTCAGCCTCGCCGACCTGAGCCACCTCCCGTTCACGCAGTACTTGGTGGGCAAAATGGGGAAGGAGTGCCTGATAAGGGACCGGAAGAATGTCAGTGCGTGGTGGGACGACATCTCGAGCAGGCCTTCCTGGAAGAAGGTCGTCGAGCTCTGGCCCGGCCTGTATTAGGACTGTTTTATTAGGCGTGCCGGATGCACCCGAGTCCTTGGTCCATGCGAAGGAGGAGTCACTTTTCGTGGACTAGCGAGTCTCTCCGTGCCTAATTAGTATGTTACTACTCGATCCCAATCGGCGGATTCGGGGGATCGAATAAGCTTTGTTGAGTCTGATTTGTAAAGATCACGTGTCAACTGGGATCACTCCAGTGTATTATCCTATTGCGGACCTTTCTAGTGTCGTCGGGCTGTGTTCGTGGTTAATTAGTACCGCGACAGTGACTTCATTTCACCTACTTATCAACTCTCGAGGATCTTTTACAACGTAAAACTTTTAGGCATCCAGTACGCGCTAAACTGGGGTTAGATGAGCTGTTAGGCTCATTCTAGGAGATAATAAACTCATCAGAAGCATGCAGTGCGTCCCTTTGCCATCAAGAAGACCACGGTTTGCTGACTCTTTTGCATATATTTTCCAGGAAAAATGATTAAGTGATAGTCCTTAATCTATTATGAGATTAATGGTACGTTCTGAATCACAAAAAATATATATAATAAATAATTATAAATTATTATGAAATTCATCCTTTAAGAATTTGTGTCTCACAACATGTTATTTTCACAGTGGTCCTGGCAAAGCCCATTCAGAAGAAAAGCAGGACGTGGGTCCCACGTGGACTATGATAAACGGTTGCCATGCATGTATCAAGCTTTACTTGAAAGCGGTGCAAGTTAGAATTTTTTCGGCTTACACTTTTTTTTATTTTATTGATGTGACAACAGCGATCGGGTATTTAGACACCGAAGCCATTTAAAGCATATCTAATAGGAATATACCATAATGTCTTTATTCATTGTCTTTGTTAATTGTATTAGTATCTGTAGCACTAGTTTAGAATCAGTATAATATCTTATATGATTGTTCTTACATCACGTGACAATGACATGTGGTGTGACAAGTTACCAATAAATATTGTGCATATAGTCGCCTATTTACATGAAGAATTATGACAGCCAACAAGCTCCTGCGGGTTGACTCATTTATATCCTCATTAAAAAAACTCATTAATTCATGGAGTTAATTTGAATTTTATTAAAAAAGTATGCGATTCTAAAGTGACCATAATGGATGTTTATGAACATTTCCTTTCTACAAAGCCATCCTTTCTACAAAGCCAGGATGTCAATATATTCCTTTCATACGTCAAATGGAAACTTAAGCTCCGTTTATTTCGTAAAAAATAAAAAAATTGTAAAATATTTTTCTAAAAATGAGCACTTGTATTGCTTGAAATAATTAGTTAATAAAAAATATTTTTATTATCAACAATAATTTATTTCTAAATCAATGACGTGATAATTTAATCATTGTGGGCCGTCTTACGTAGATATTGCCACGTCAACGATTCCTAATGAAAATTGACTATGTATATTGGAATTTCGCCAAATTTTAAAGACAAATTGTCAAAATTAAAAAAATTATGACTGAATTGACATTCATGCAATAAATTTTGAGATTGATTTGACAATTTCCTCACTTTTCCTTTGGTGAGCCTATTTTCATTTTGATCAAGAACATTATTCACGATGGTGTGTCTTCAAGCGTGAGCTGGATCTTGTGTTTTGTGACTCAATCCAAGGCTGAGTGATTTTTAGGACTCGCTGCAATCAGTAGGTAGCAAGGAAATCGAGAAAAGCAGTGTATGTGACCTGCATCACAGGGTCATATCATCACGGTGTACTTTTGCAGTCAGGTTTGACAAATCAAACCCGAAATAGTTTAGTGGAGGCATAGTCACATAAGTGTTTCTCCTCAAGGACACCTCCCTTTAGACACTCGAACCGACAGTCTATCGGCAGCAGAATTTCATCGGGATGATGATGTTTTTGCTCATCTAAATCTATGGTCACATGGAAAAATGTTATCAAGTTTCTTATATTCTTGCGCGCGATAATTCACTTGGGTGAATAACCACGTTGAGCATTGTCGCGACCGACCTCCCCGCTCTTTTTTATCTGCAACATGTAAAAAAGGGGATTTCGCCTGGTACTTGCTAAGTTTAGGTTAAGGACTTAACTCGGGCTCTCCCAAGCCCATACCATATCGCGACTTAGGGTTTAAGTGTTTAACATGCAAGTGGTTTATATCAAGGAGTCGCCACTAATCGATTTGGGGTGGGTCGATTAGAAACCCAAATAAGGTGATGGGAGAATTACCCCATTCATGCGAACCAGAGATTAACTGAGTTCGGGGACTTGGTTACACTAGTCGGATAACTAATGCCCTTTCGGTACCTTTTTTACCCTGTTCATTTATGAAAATATTTGTCAGGCAATTCGGATTGATTTTAGGACCTTTCTCCTAACATGTGAGGTGATCAAGCGAGTGCATAATCATAAACGATCAGCAGTCAAGATAAATATCCAGCCTTAGGTTCTAATCCTGACTAAGTCAGATGATATTCAAAACACAACAACTCATGCAATTGTATTAAAAACATGCATAATAATACAACGGTAATAAAAATAACATGCAAAATACTACCGCGCAATCTCAGGCTTGTCTAATTTAAACAAGTCAAAAACTTGCATAATAATACCACAATAAATAAAAACAACAAATATATAACATAAAAAAATTTGAATTTTTTTTAAAAAATAATAAATAAATAAATAAATACGAAAAGAAAAAATAAATACGGAAGAAAAAGAGAAAAAAAAATTTAATTTTTTTTAAATTTCTTTTTAAAAAAATAAAATAAAATAAAATAACCGGGTCGGGTCGCGGATCCGGGTCGGTCTGATCCGACCCGGGTCAACAGATCCTACCCAAAACGTTGACCGGGTCGGATCTCCGAATCCGGGTCGGGTGATTGGATTCGGGTTCGATCGGAACCGACCAGGATCCACGAAACCGACCCGAATTGATTAATTCGGGTCGGATAATTGGATCCGGGTCGGGTCTGATTTACCCGAATCGACGAACCGGCCCTGAATCGGTTTTTGAATAGCACCGGGCCGGTTCAGCCGGTTCCCAAGCCTCAAACATCGAAGGTCACTGATCAGACGAAATTTCGGCGATTCGCCGGATGTTTCGTCCGGCCAGTGGCATCATTCTCCTCAGCCCATCAAGCTGAGGAGTGTTTGATGCCTAGTCGCCGGAGAACTGGCCTGAATAATTGCCGGCCAAGCCCCGATCGGAATTCATCAAATCGGACGTCAATCGGAATTTGGCCGACGTACCCAGACCACGATTCGGCTTCCTCTGGTCCCTGATGGTCTTCACAACACCTACCTGAGTCGGCTGAGTCACCATTCGGCCCCCTACTCTCCGGCGAAGTTCAAACACAAACCGGACTTTGTGGGAAATTTTGACAAACAGTTGGTGGGCGTGACAAAAATAGGGGCATTTCGACCTATTCCGGGAGCTCGATCGGCCTTAACAACCACGGCTCGCCTCCGACGGCGAGTGGGGACCAGGATCAAGGACGGTATGGGCCAGGATTCGCGCGAAACGACCGGTGCGAGTCCCGGCCACACCGGACACAAAAACAGGGGCGAACAGAGCACCGGGGAAGGCTCACCGTTCGGCGACGCGACTGGAGGCTCTCCGGCTGATGTGCGGTCGACGGCGCGGCTGTGGGGACCTGTAGAAGCTCGAATCTCCCCTCTTTCTCTCTCTTTTCTCTCTGTTTTCTCTCGGACTCTCTCTGTCTCTCTCTGCTCTGTTTCTCTCTCAAATGGCCGAGCGTTTCTCTCTCTTTCTCTCCAGTTTTTGTAGTGGCCGAGAGCCACTGCTTCGGCTCTCTTACGTCGGCTGACGAAGGCCTGCACCGGCCTACGCCGCTTGAAGACTTTTGTGGCCATTTGCAGGCCGGTGCAGAGGGGGGGCCTGGTTCAGTGAGGGGCAGAGAGGAACAGGGAGAAGAGAGGAATGAGGAGATAAGGGAGACCGGGAAAACGGGGAGGACGGGACTGGCAATTAATGCCAGTCCCGTTGGCGTGCTCCCCCGGCCCTGCTGACCCGGCCCAACTCGGAAATTCTTTTTTTTTTTTTGAAAATTTGATTTGATTTTGATTGATTTTTTTTAAACACTCTAATAGACTCTATTAATACAAATGTGCCTAATTTCTATATACAATGCATTTAAATAGAAATATTTTTTGTTTTAGGAATTAAAGAAAATTAACTCCTAAATTTTGTGCAATTAATTTTGGGCAAATTAAAAATAGGTGTCAACAGCTGCCCCTCTTTGAAGGTGAGCTCGCAAAGATTACGTTCAAAGATAAAATGACACCTAAATTTGGCCCATGCATGCTCAATGAATGCTTTTTTTGGTGAGAGCGTGAGTCCCATTTTTATGATGCGATATAAGATGATGCATGCTAAAGCAAATAAAAACATACCTGGGGCTACTTACCTTATTGAAGGGTAGAGTAATTCCAGATAGTTGATATTGTGTGTCGAGGACCCGAATCTGTCTTCGGTCGCCTTGACGGGGAAATCGCTTGTCTAGGACCCGAACCTTTCTTCGATTGCCTTGACTGGGGAAATCGCTTGTCTAGGACCCGAACCTATCTTCGATCGCCTTGACTGGATTTCGTTTGTCTAGGACCCGAACCCTTCTTCGGTCACCTTGACTGGGGAAATCGCTTGCCTAGGACCCGAACCTATCTTCGGTCGCCTTGACTGGATTTCGTTTGTCTAGGACCCGAACCTTTCTTCGGTCGCCTTGACTGGGGAAATCGCTTGCCTAGGACCCGAACCTATCTTCGGTCGCCTTGACTGGATTTCGTTTGTCTAAGACCCGAACCTACCTTCGGTTGCCTCGACTGGGGAAATCGCTTGCACAGGACCCGAACCTATTTTCGGTCGCCTTGACTGGATTTCGTTTATTTAGGACCCGAACCTTTCTTCGGTCGCCTTGACTGGATTTTACTTTGCCAAAGTACCTGCATCTCATAAAGGGTACCTGAAAAGACTTGATGTGAACAGAGAGGGTTGATCCCATGCTCAGGAGGGGTACTATAACAATCGTAGGTACATGGTGAACAGAGAGGTCAATCCAATGTTCAGTTGGTGAACAAAGGGGTCAATTCAATATTTAAAGGGTACCATAACAATCGTAGGTACATGGATTTTTGGAACCGGGCATGGGTAGAATATACTTACCTGGGCACGTTCCTGCCTCTTAAGGGCATGTCTCCTGTTAG